TAAAAATCCTGGAGGTTTACCGAACTAATTCTAAAAGCTGTTTTGAAATATAAAGCAGGTAGGTATTATAGTTTTAATTATCTCAAATTAAGTAATGTTCTTAATTAACATAAAAAGCATTATAGAGTTTCTTAAAAGTTCATGACAAGTACTATTATCATGATTTTCCCAGATTTGTCAAGCCAGTAGTTTAACTTTTAGAGGGACGCCCTATAAGTACTCAAACTAAAATTAGAACTTTAAAGTTTAATATTTCGCAAACGGTGTACCTACCATGAGTTTACGTTAGGTGTGCTCGCTAGCGAGTACGTCAAAAATCTCTATGAAGATTTTGTTTCTTCAAAGTAGCCGCTAGGGGCGCTGCACAATATGTCATACAATTAATGTCATTTTTTTTACGTAGTCGCTAGCGAGCACACCTAACGTAAACTCATGGTAAGCACACTGATCCCTAAATCCAGTTCTTTGTCAGAACTACGGAACCTTAAAACTTAGCTAACATAATAAGAAAGTAGCGTTTTTGATAATAGGTCCTAATTACAACGAATAAGAATTCGTCCATGAGACGTCGGCTAACGCCTTTTAAGGATTTTCTTTAAGACCTAAAATATTCCATCGGACATGTTTTAATTACTTGAGGATCACACAAAAACATATCTTTTGTTGCAGAGATGGAAATCGTGCCCGAGGGAAAAAACTTTCGATTGGTTACAGAAGACGAGCTCCCAGCGATTGCCGATATTTTAGTGCAGTATATGCCTGAATCTCTAAAGGTACGGTATTAACACGTCACGATTAATAATGATTTAGTTTATTTTTAAAAGTTCCGGAATCCTAAAAAACTCAATTAAGATTAACTAACTACTAGTGCTAATTGTAACTCTCTCGAACTTATTCAAATAAGTTACCTTCATTGCACGAAAAGTTAAAACATGAGCTAAAACCTAATTGGGGTCTGACAATCTAATCTACGATTTGCCTGGTTCCTCGGAGAGTTACAGCATGGATGAGAAATAAAAAATCTTACTCCGCGTACTTGTGCCAAAGCGAATAGTGCCTTGGGACTTTTTCAATCTAGAAAATAAACCCAAGAGCGTAGACTGGATTGCTGCCCCTCGAGCCTATTGGAGCGAGAATTTTCGGTTTATCCAATTCTATTTTTGAACTGCATTATTTATAACGATGTCTGAGCTCACATAAATTAATTTTATTGTCAGACAAATTGAGCTTTTCGAGATGGATTTTTAGATTATTAATGTATTTCAGTCACCGTAGCGTAGGCAATAGTGTTATTGGAATATTGAAAACAAGAAAGTGGCATAAATCTTAATCTACTAACCAAGCCACGTGAAAAATATGAACTTCGTGTTTATTGCTGAAAGCTTATATTATTTAAATGTATATTATTTCTCTTCTTTGCAGTTTCATCAGACGATTCAAACATATCTAAACAACAAGGTGTGGGACTTCCATTTTTATGTAGCGAAGAATTGGCCTGAAGATCCGATTTGTCTCCATTTTCCAGGGTGTACCAGTACGGTGAGTTACAATTTCTATTAATATACTATGTTGAGTTCTAAATGGAAGCAGGAACAGTAAAAGTTCAGAAGATCTAGCAATTAATAAAAGTGTTTTCACTCTAACGTTTCCAATAGAAGGATGGTGTTACTAGAATTGGCAATTTGTTTTCAAGCGAGCTAATTGCCTGGATCTCTTGAAATACAGACCAAAGTTCCCGGTCATGGAGGGGGAAACAAGGCCAACCCCCACAACCCCTAACACTTGAAGAAATCGAGAAATTTCTCAACAAAACTTATTTAGTACCTTCAATACTTCTGTTAGGCTAATTTATGAGTAAAAATCCAAGTGGCAGGGTTCCATCAATATTGTTGCGTGAGTCGTTATACCTCACCTCATTCTGGACTGCGAAAATATAAACCAAAAGTTGGTGAGTAATAACATTAAAAGTTATGGACTATGGACGGAAGCGAAAATATTACATCGTCGCTACTGCTCGAAAGTTTATTCCGCCTCTTCCCCCCTTTTTCACCTCATCGTAATTAATGCATTGTGTATAATGGGGAGTTTGAACTTGCGAAACCCTTTAAGTTTCNAAAGTTCCAGAAGTTTCGAAGACCGATAACTGTCAAGCTTTTCTTCTACGAAAAGAAATTCGCTAGCACTTGTACAATGTGAGCAGTTCTTTGTATTTTATTTCGATAAACTCTTAAAGCTCTAGCATCTTTGCAAGCGAGCTTTGCTCAACGTTTAGCGGCTTTCGTGGAATTTTCCTCGTTTCGCTATTGAATCCAAGCTCGGCTCAGAAACGTCATGTCGAGATCGTCGCGTTGAGTGATGCTTACCCCGCGGAGTGAAATGTTACCTTTTTGTGTCCCCTCTTGGTTCAGGTAAACATTCATTTGGCGTCGCCCTTTTTAAACGTGAAATTATTTATATTTCTGAATAGTTTGTTTGCTGACGCAAATGCAGAAAATTCTTTCATGAGCAGTTCATTTGCAATGAACATGAATTCAAACATAAATCTACCCTCTTAACCTAGATTCAAGCCTCGTGATTGGTTGAATTTAAATATTATTAACACTTAATCACAGCTTGGATTTGTTCTTGATTTTAGATTCATACCTTTGTTGTTGTTGATGATGTAACTTATGTGTCTCTATCTTTGACGTTAATTATTATGATATTCATTACATTAATTAACGCAAGTTTTAGTAACTTGGAAAAAGAACAAGCAAATTGGAAAAAGAACACGCTTGTAAAAATCTAAACGCTCGCCTTTTACCTATTTGTTCTCAGAACCATTAACTTATTCATCCCTCGGGAAATCCCGCTAACGGCCGATGAGCTATAATGCGCTTTTAATTTTTAACCGACATGTGAAGTCACGCTATGTCCCCATGTTTTCCAAATCTGATTTTTGTTTTTAATAACGATTATGATACCTACTCGTAGGTATAACTTACGCCAATTAAAATATTAGGAGCTCAGCTCCTAGCAAGAGATCGTATTTACGTAACAACTTCTTAGAAAACAAATTCTTCTGATTTAATTTATGTTTCGACGGGTTAACTATTCTTCAATTTTAATCGCTCCTTGAATGTTCCAGCCAAACAGGCTCCCTTATGAAAGCGTGACGGTGTTCTGCCCATCTGAGCGCGCCAGCCTGGTCGACCTGGTGACCTCTGAAGACGTGTTGTTGGACCTCACGCAACCCTTGTACCTGAACTTCACCCATGAGGCCATCGTCAACCGGTTCGAGAAGCACTATGAGGCGCATGACAAGATCACCGGTGATGTGTACGTCTGTGATAATCCCCCGGAGGACGCTAGCACTGATGGGTGAGTTTAGACATAATACCCTTTGAAAGAAGGTATATTCTTCTAGTTAAGTAGGTCCTTCTCAAGGAAACCCTCATCTGATTCGGAGGGCAATGTTAGCCTACGATAAGATTACTCCAATGTCGGTCATGCTGGCATCTCGCTTAGCGTGAAAGGGATGAGAAAATTCGAAATTTTGGAGAGCATTCTTGAGAGTAGTCCCGATGTAAGTGGGTATTTCTTATGAAATCTCAAAATTTGAGATTTTATTTAAATTTCTTTTTTTTTTCATAAACTTAGATATTTTTTGCAGAGATCAGAAAAGTTACTTTTAGAGATCTGTCCAGGGGTATTGGTCTTCCATATTTTTTTATATTACCTATAAAAAATGAGGTTTTAAAAAATTAATAAATGAGGGAATGATTAACGGAGTGATGGAATGATTTATTATTATATTATAGTAAAAACAACATGTACAAATGGCATATTGGCATGCTTTAAGCATTGACAAGTATTTCGGGTATTCACTAGTCTACGTTTTTACTTGAACTTTCGCTTTTTTCTTTAAAAATATTTTAATCTTTCTTTTTCCTGCAGTTTTTTCAAAGATTCAGTATTATTTTTCATTTTTCTCGCCTTTTTCTATCGTACTCTTTCTTTTTTATTTATTTTTTGCATCACTCAACTTCTTTTGTCGTGCTATTTTGCTTCCACATACATGCACCTCTTTTTAATTAAATACCATGAAATACAAGTTACATGAAATAAATAAGCCTAGGCGCAGACCATCGATTTTTCGTCGGCCGATAGTTTAGTCGGACAGTTAATCAGTATGGGCATGTATGGAAGTTCGCACATTACGCCGATTTGATTTGGCCGACTAAATAGTTGAATACGATTCCCAACTGAAAACCAGCGCCGTGGCCTTCGTCACCGTGGGCCACGGCATATGCTGAGTGGGGTCCCGTTGCAGTGGGCATCTGGTTGGTGAATGGGTGGCACTGCTCAGTTTACTCTTGTTTTTATTTTTTCTTCTTTTATTATTATGTGCCACTGTCATGTCTATGTAATTGCCTGTATTTGTGTGATGTCCACTGTAATAAATGTATCTTTCTTTCTTTCTTTCTTTCTTTCTTTCTTTCAACTGCCTTCCAACTAAAGTATCGTCCAACTATCGGTCGATAGCTTGATCAGACGGCGCTCCTCTACGCGCGCGCAGACTGGCCAATTTTTCGTCATCCAACTCGGCCGATAGCTTCAGTTTGCTCCTCGTTTTTGGCGGGAAAGGTTAGGTTAGGTTAGGTAGGTTAGTAATACATTTATTTAACTAGTTATTACTCGCGATTTCACTTTTTCATGATCATTTCCCTTTCATCATCATCATTTCAGCCACAGGACGTCCACTGCTGAACATAATCCAATGACTTCCACATAGCACGATTGGTCCCGGCCTGCATCCAGTGCCTTCCTGCTACCTTTATCAGGTCGTCGGTCCACCTTATGGGTGGACGTCCCACGCTGCGTTTTCCGGTACGCGGCCTCCATTCCAGAACCTTGTTGCCTCATGCCGTCAGTTCTGCGTACTATGTGCCCTGCCCACTGCCACTTCAGCTTGCTAATCCGTCGGGCTATGTCAGCGACTTTAGTTCGTTTACGGATCTCCTCATTTTTGATTCGATCTCGTAAAGAAACACCGAGCATAGCCCTCTCCATAGTACGGTGTGCAACTTTGAGCTTCTGTATAGGGTCTATAGTGAGAGGCCACGTTTCCGAGTCATCACAGGATAAACACGGACAAAACGAAGCTTATGTCGAACGTCCATGTTGCGCTCGATTCTTGAGATTTNGCAATTTGATGAGAAATACCCAAGTAATAGGCGTCGGAGGTAAACCTTCATAAGGTGCCTGATGTAGGAATGGTAATCATTGATAATATTGATCTCCCTCATCATTTCACAATGCTGGTTAAATAAATACAGTCCTCCTTAGAAGAGTAAATTCCAATGTTCTTTCCTCAAGCATGAAATGAAGAGTTGAAGTAAAATTTGCATAATTGTCCACAGACTGCCACCGGACGTGGAGCTAGTGCGGCTGGAGCCCGAGCACATGAAGGCGGTGTACGACCTGTACCCGGCGAGCGACATCGAGTGCCGCGAGGTGTTCGAGAAGCTGGTGGCCGAGCTGCCGGCCTACGGCATCTTCGTGGAGGGCCAGCTCGCCGCCTGGATGGTCCAGTCCTACTACGGCGCCATGTTCTCCATGCAAACGCGCCCCGAGTTCCGCAGGAAAGGATACGGGATCTACCTCGCCCGGCGCCTCACCAAGGAAGTCGCCGCCCGCGGGTACAAACCCTTCGTCGTCATTCGTCCCGAAAACGACGCGTCCCGTTCCCTCTACACGAAACTCGGCTTCGAGAGACGCTTCAGAACGGTGCGCGCCGTTTTGCGCCCTCGCTAACGCGTTGAAAGTTGATCACTAGCAGATTTTATTTTTTTAAGACTTTTGAAAAATCAATCTAGCTTGCGATCTTTGATCGCTTAGTGAATTTTAGTAGTAGCTTTAAGATTAGCGGCTGCCGCTCTCGGTCTGCGGCTCGGTACTCCCGAATGAACAGCAGTTTCTCGATTTCCGTACCTTCAAATCTGCTCTTAGCGTTTTCAAAACTTTTCCCCTCATTCTTACGATGACAACGAAGTTGAAATTTCTAAAATTGTAGCTACGCGTTCTTGTCTTTGCTTCCCGACAGAACCGAGAGCGCCGGCCGCACGCTGCGTTCTCCGGCGCCAGCCTAGTCACTGATCTCAACGATTCTAACGTGCCAAGATCCGTTCCGAACCTGATCAATTTGGTTATTCAACAACGTTACTATGATGCGCAATAAATTGCATTTTCGAGCTCTACAATGATGTAGTTAACGCTAAAGAATAGCACATATGCGAGCAAAATGCGAAAAACAGGTAGTTATAGAAATTAATGAAATGTAGAGTCGACTACGCTGAAATAAAAAATCGTTAATCCATTCGTGACAATAAGTGGTATTAATATATTGTTTGGAAACGTATCGGACGGAACTGCTATAGGTATATGAACAAAGTTAATAAGGTTCCCCAAGCTCTTGGCATCGTTAGCTCATTTAGGCGAATGCTTCATTACCACTCGTTGATCGATCGGAAACTGTTCTGTCTCATGGTTTAAAAAATTTTGGGACCCGTTATGACCTGTGTGATAAAACGTTAGGTAATGTGTACATGTTGAAAGATTACATGTTAAGGTGTGAGTACATGAGAAAGAAAGGTTGCCGTTACTGCACCCCAGTTTGCACAATTCAAAAAAAATTCAAGCACCGTAATGTTATCCTGACTCAGTATGATTACTATCAATACTGTTTTCTGAAATTGTATTTGTCAACAATATTATTTCAATGATTATGACAATAGAACTGTATTATAATTTTGAATACATATACTTAACGTTTGTGTTGAAAAGGTGACTTTGGAAAATTAACTTTTGTCTGTGCAAAGAGAAAAGTTCGAAACTGAAAACTGGCTTCAGTCTTTTGAAAATACTCTCCTCTATTTGTCTGTTTAATTACAACTTTCATGTATAGCTAGTTTTCAGTTTCAACTTTTCAGGGTAGACTGGATTTTTATATAAGTGAAACATTGTTGGAATAAAGTGAAAACATTTAAAATTTCATACGAAAGTAGATAGGTAGGTATTTTAATATGGGAATATATTTTACAACTCTTATTGACTACTTATATATTGAGGTTTGCTATGCATATACCATGCTTAGATATTAATTTTTCATTCAGTTTAATGAATTGTGTGATATGATATTGCTTTGGGTTCGTTAGTTTACCTTAGATTTTGGAGTAACCCCATAAAGACTGGTGTGTAGGATATACCAAAGATTACTAGAAGAGAGGGTTTGAGAATGACTAGAAAGTGAAATTGAGTTTATTATACCGACGTTTTTGAGGTAATAACTTGGAAATAAATTATATTTTACCACCCCATTCATTAAGTCGTGTATTTTGACTAAGCTCTAGTTTACATCCTAATCTCTCAATTGACTTCGAATTTGATACAATGATTGGTATCAGCACCTATTGTAAGTACTTATTTATTTATTTATCCCTCTTTGTACCTAATAATTATTAATATTTCTTGTATAATTTAATTTGAATGTAGAGTATTAATTTATTATTTAATGCTAAGTTATATTCGTTTCTCAGACGGACTAAGGTAAAATTGGCAAAGTTAATGTCAAATTTTGCTCAATACAGGGAGCTTCCACCGATATTTGAAATAAAATAAGACTCATTTGAAACGAAATTATTGCCAAATTGTTAACTATCGGCGTATATCGTTAAATGAATTGTGCTTGTCCTTAGTCGCGAGAAATAAATGGACGAAATCTATCTCCTAGGATAATAATCTTTAAAGATATTCTATGCATTGTTTTATCATCATAATATAAATATCCCGAAAAAGCAGATTGCATTTACGTCCGTACAGTTCATAATTTTGTTGAAAAACTTTTTAAACATTTTACTTTGGTACTTTACAGCCCTTCTGGGCTTTAAATAAAATAATAACTTAATACACAAACTACCTGTGGGTCGTAATGAAAACAAGTCTCTAGAAAACAAGTGAAATACGTTTTCCATCAAAATTATGAGCTATATGGCCCGGTTTAAGACTGATCGTATAGCGTGATCTGCTTATTTGGAGCCAGTCATTAACATGCAATCATGCTACAAGCTTTCCTACTTCCTAAGTAGGTAAATACCTACACGTCTAATAAGTAGTTCGTGATTTCTTGAAATTATTAAATTGTAAGAGCATTTTTCCGTACATTTCCCTCGTAAAACAAAAGGACAGGTGTTCCGTCCTCGCAACTGCAGAGGAGACAGCAATGTTTTAATCTTCTGCGGCAATATAGATGAAGGATGTAGTGTCCATTCTGTATTGTTTATCAGTTTATCACCTACCTACCTTGCAAAGGTATCGGAAACAATAATAAAACAAACAAACAAAATATTGGTTTTATTTCATGACCCCCTCCCCTTTCAACAAATAAGTATATCTACCTACCTACCCCTATAATGATTATGATACAGTGTTTATCAAACTAGCTCAATGACTCCTACAAAGCCAGAGCTTTGCGGGTTCAAATCCCTAGGTTCAATGTAATGTTACGAGAATGAGTTTATTCATAAAATTATGACCATTAAGTACCTACTGCTTGGATAATCACTGGTAGGGGATAAGATGATTAATGTAGTGTACGTTAATTATACCCGATGTAGGTACGTAATTATATCAATATACGTTATGTTCAGGTATAATGTTGTTGTCCACTTTATAAGTCCACAAAACGTACGTCAGAAGGTTGGAACAGTAAAACATGTGATTTCTTTAAAGGTGTAATTGCGACTAAAATAAAACTGGCGGGCTCAGTCGCCGACACATACAAGGAACAGTATAACTATTGTTTTCTATTGTTGATTGTATTGGGCAATGATGTGGGAACGCAGGACGCTACTCAATACGCTCTGTTCATTCATGGAGTTAATTTATTACTCTGATTAATGTGTACCTACATGTAGTAAGTAATTTAAGAATGTAACTTAAGAAGTAATTTAAGAATGAACGTTCACCCATAAGGTGGACCGACAACCTCATAAAGATAGCGGAAAGGCGCTCTGAATGCAGGCCGATACCAACCGGGCGATGTAGAAATTATTGGGGGACTGCTGAACATATATGTTCAGCGGTGGACGTCCTGTGGCTGAAATGATGATGAATTTCCAAATATTAAACAGTGATAAACAGTAGGTAGGATAATCATGGTAAGGTAACATCAATATTATTTCTAACTAGCTTTCCGCCCGCGGCTTCGCCCGCATGGAATTTTGTCTGTCACAGAAAAACTTTATCGCGCGCGTCCCTGTTTCAAAAACCGGGATAAAAACTATCCTATGTTCTTTCCCGGGACTCAAACTATCTCTATGCCAAATTTAATCAAAATCGGTTGCGAGGTTTAAGCGGGAAAGCGTAACAGACAGACAGACAGACAGAGTTACTTTCGCATTTATAATATTATAGTTGGGAAATGATGTGGGAACGCAGGACGCTACTCAATACGCTCTGTTCATTCATGGAGTTAATTTATTACTCTGATTAATGTGTACCTACATGTAGTAAGTAATTTAAGAATGTAACTTAAGAAGTAATTTAAGAATGAACGTTCACCCATAAGGTGGACCGACAACCTCATAAAGATAGCGGAAAGGCGCTCTGAATGCAGGCCGATACCAACCGGGCGATGTAGAAATTATTGGGGGACTGCTGAACATATATGTTCAGCGGTGGACGTCCTGTGGCTGAAATGATGATGAATTTCCAAATATTAAACAGTGATAAACAGTAGGTAGGATAATCATGGTAAGGTAACATCAATATTATTTCTAANCATGACCCATGCACTCTCCCCTTTCAACAAATAGGTATATCTACCTACCTACCTACCCCTATAGTGATTATGATACAGTGTTTATCGAACTAGATTGAGCTAGCCGACAAAACCAGAGCTTTGCGGGTTCAAATCCCCAAGCTCATGGTTCAATGGTGTTACGAGTAAGAGTTTATTTATCAAATTTTAATGGTAGCCATTAAGTACCTACTGCTTGGATAACCAGACTGGTAGGGGATAAGATGATTATGTAGGTCCTTATGTACCCTGAACGAGATGGAGGACTGTTGTGGACGCCCTCTGCCCCATCTAGGGGACATAGGACCATAAGTCAAGTATGTACCCTATGTAATTTAAGAATGTACGAATGGACGTTCACCGATAAGGTGGACCGACAACCTCATAAAGATCAAAAGGCGATCTGAATGCAGGCCGATACCAACCGGGCGATGTAGAAATTATTGGGGGACTGCTGAACATAATATAGGCCTTATGTTCAGCGGTGGACGTCCTGTGGCTGAAATGATGATGAATTTCCAAATATTAAACAGTGATAAACAGTAGCTACCTACTGTTTATCACTGTTTAATATTTGGAAAACAGTAGTTACCTTACCATGATTATTATCCTACGATAATAATCATGGTAAGGTAACATCATTATTATTTCTAATAGCTCACCGCGTTAATAAAAAGGCTTAAACTTAAACGTAACTAGGCACAACTAACCAGTTTTCAATACTTCACGATTTAAGCCACCAAAAGCCACACGAAAGTAAATAAATAATAACAAAGTAGCCTAGTAGTAGGGTCAAATATTATAAAAAGTTGGTCAACACAAAATTAAAATCACAATAAATGGTCTAGTTTTAAAATATGTCATAATTTTGGACGATAAACTTGTCTAAATACCTACCTTATTTTAATCAGCTTTCTAATTATCTTTTCTTATATTAATTTCTCCCAAGTAGTCACTCAGTCTAGCGCCGACAAAAACTTTTTTATATTTTTTTCTCTATTTTTTAATGGTTTCTCCTAGACTTTTTTTCTATGAGGTGTATCTCTTGCCAGTGTCTTGTCTTTGTTGGAGTTTCTTCTTCCACTTCGAGCGAATATTTTAAGAAGTAGTCATAGATGCGTAATATTTTTAAATATCCAAGCCAAGGTAACTTCTTAAAGCTGCTAGCAAGCAGCTTTTGACCCTAGAGTAGAGTTTACTTAAAGACAAACTTCTACTGTAACGAACGAAAGCTTAGATAAGAACTATTTAAATCTTACCGGTTGGCTTACAAAAAGTAACAACACTACAACCGACCGATACCGGTTTATCATAGGTGGATAATCACCTTTATTACTTTCTAGATGTTGGCAAACATGACTGTCAAAGTGACATATGTCACTCTACTACAAAATGGCCGTCGAATGTTATTTTCATTCATGGTGATTTTGATGTGTAATTTGTTTGCTGCAAATTATTTCTATAAACCATGACTAGTTTAATTGATAAAATTGAATTACTTATCAAAAGAGAAAAAACAACTCCAGAAAAGAAACAAAAAGATGATTCTACCAAGAGTTCTAGTGAAATTCTTTCTGAACTGTTCAGTGCATTTAACGCAGATCCACCAAAAATTGATGATGTTACGCTAAAAAAGTCTAAGAAAAGCAAGAAGAAACACAAGAAGGAAAAGAAAAAACGTAGCCGAAGTTCTAGCAGCAGTAGTTCAGATGGTAGTGATTACACTCACAGACACAAGAAGAGGAAAAAAAGTAAGTCCAAAAAACGCAAAGATGATCGTTCTCCCTCTCGCTACCGCTCAAGAACCCCTTTGCTAAAACCGGATCCTGACACTAAAGTTAAATTTGAGACTAGTTTTATAAAATCTGAAGATTCAAAGGTTAAGAAGGAGGTAAAACCTGTAATTAAGACTGAAGTAAAACGGGAAGTATCTGTAAAATGTGAGGACAAAAATTCTGCAGATCTTATCGATGCGAGTCTCATTCCTATGCCAGAGTCTCCCAAGAATTCTTCTGATGAAGCTAAAACAGATGGTAAGAAAAATGACACAAACCAATCGGAGAGTGACAAGTCAAAAGGTAAAATTCAGATTAAAAACTTAAAATTTAGTGCTGTATATGAAGAAACTGTTAAAAAAGCCGAAGAAGAAGCAAGAAAAAGGGCAGAGAAATATGAGGAGGGTGAGGTGAGTGATTCCTCATGTGAGTCAGTCAAAGAAATTGTGGTCAATTCACAATTTCCCAAATCATCTGACCCGGGCGGGATACTTAAAAAGCAAGCTGTTGAAGAAATTAGAATGTAAGTCCAAAATTCACTTTTTATAATTAGTAAAGTGGTTTCTATTGTCCACTGTTCTAACTTGTAACCCACAAATGTTATGTTAAATTGCAGATCCGAAGAAATTAAAAGCAGTTCCAAGAAAAGTAAACACTCTGATAAGGAAAGCCGCAGCAAATCATCTCGTAAGGACAAGAGCAGAGACAGGAGTAGATCTCGTAAAAGGTATTAAAAACAAACAGTATTTTTAAATCCTATTGGCTAAGCCAGTTTTCATGTCTTTTTAAGAAGCTCCCTTGCTAAGTTTTTCTTATACTTAAATTTTGATCTTCAAATAACATGCTAATGATCCTATGAGTTGATTCTTTGTTTTAGTATAATGTTCAAAATTAATCTAGGCTTCATGATTTTAACACTCCCGGACAGTAACCCAGACATAATAGAAGTTTAATTGTTAAGACGGCTATAGCAGTTCACTGTCGAAAGTTTGTCACAATCTGACAAACAAAACCATTCCATACTATTGTAACAAACAAAATATTTTGTTAAAAAAACTTCCTATACTACAAACATCAAGTACAGATACTGCAATGCTATTGTTGGTGCTAAAAAAATAGTTTTTCTAGACTTTCAGCACTCATTTCACGGATCCAACATAATAAATCTTTCACTATCTTTTTACAGCAGATCAAGATCCCGTTCAGCATCCCGCAAGCACCACAGGTCTTCTTCCAAGTCGCGTCACCGGAGTCGGTCTGCGCACAGGGACAGGACGAGGCGGCGGTCGCGATCGCACACGCGGTCCCGTCATCATTCGCCAAGGCATAGGGGTCGTAGATCAAGGTGTGTATGAAGTTTTTAGTAACCTAGACTAAAGCCTGGTCGCTAAACGCTCGCGCGAGCGTTACGGATGGGTAGCTAGGGGTCATTGGACAAAATTCTACGTGCTCACGGACCAGGCTTTAGACTAATTTCTTGCAAAATAATGCTTGTTACAACTTAACAGTTTTGGAATAGCGTTTCGAGGATAGGCATGGCAATCTTTCATCTGCTGGATTTAGCTGGAGAGGCATAGGTCTAGACTCTAGAGAAATGTTCAGAAGTGGACGTCCTGTGGCTGAAATGATGATGATGATAGAGTGGTTAACAGGAATATTAGTAATTTGTGCAATACCAGTCTTGAAAGATTTTAACTTGATTTGCTGTTGAAACTCGGGACTTCAGTTCTAACAAAAAGAGTATTTACGTTCAACTCCAGCTTATGACCCTTCTCCAGTCTTATCTATTCAGCAGTTGATGTGTAATTAAATTTCATATAAATTTACAGGGTGTTAGGTAAATGGGTATATGAGCCGACACTAGCCCATGTTAACATATGCATATAAATGATTTTTTTGAATGAATTATTTTAATTTTCGTACAAATTTTATTTTATAAATTTTTTTTTTAATGAACATTTAAAAAATTTGACGATATCAAATTTCTGACTTCACCATACCATTTATATGCATATGTTAACATGGGCTAGTGTCAGCTCATATACCCATTACCCATTACCATTACCTAACACCCTGTATAATTTTGAATAATTTGTCTATAGGTCGCCAACTGGCGTGAGGCTAGCGGACAGCGAGAAGAAGCGTCTGCTAGAAGTGGCTAGACGGAACGCCATCAATATGCTCAAGAACGGCGCGGTGCCGGCCGGCGCCGCCGCGCTGCCGCCGCATACTAGGAACCAAGTCATGGCCGCCATACAGTCGGGTGGTAAGTTTTATTTTTATGTATTTACTAGCGGCCGCCCGCGACTTCGTACGCGTAGATCCCGTTTGCGTTGTGTTTGTGCGTTGATCTGTCAGTCAGTCAGTCAGTTTCTCCTTTTATATATTTAGATTAGACAAGAGACCTTTGTTCTTCTCGAGTTTCTTTCGTTCGTTTCTTTACGAGATCGAATCAGAAATAAGGAGATCCGTCGAACTATATGTATAGGCGCTGACATAGCCAGACAAATTAGCAAGCTGAAGTGATTGCCATAGCAGGGCACACAGCACGCAGAACTGACCGCCGATGGGGCAGCAAGGTTTTGGAACGTCGTACAAGGTGAACAGACGACCTCATAAAGATTAAAGATAGCAGATTCGGGTTCGCGCTGTTACCGACAAGAGACCCGTTTTCATCAACCCTGCTTTTTTGTTTTCATACGGGTCACTTAAAAATTAGAGATTGATGGTGAAAACGTGCATAAGACAAGATATCGCGACCGTTACTTACCCTTAGACATTTTATTCGTTTGTTGCAACTATTATTTACCTGATACTGTGACTGATAATACATATAACGCATTTATTCCCAATTTATGTTTGTGCAGGTAAATCAGTAGACGAGTTAACAGACTTCTGCAAACATCTATCAAAGAAAGAGGCACTTGGCGAGCTGTCTTCTGTTTCATCGCACGACGACGATATGAGCGAGAACGAAGATACTCTGGCATTCCACCATCCCTTCCTTGTTAAGGAGAAAGCACCTATTGTACTTAATATTAGGGTAAGTTTTCAATTAACAATTGCTACTTTTTATGTTTCTTTATTTTACGTTTGTTTTCCAACTAAAAGATACATAATAACGTCAGAGTTAGTATGAGAAAGTTTTAATGAAGACTATGAAATTGAAACAAATTTTTCTCTTGTGTGGCTGGTCGCAATCAACCAAGTGATGTAAAATATCTTACTTTTCTTCTTTTCTCTTCTTTGGTGGAAAAGTAAAATGTTATTAATATTCGAATTCACTGAGATAGCTCAGTGTTAGTTTACAAAAAATAACTTATTTTAAAAATGTAACATTTCCAATTAAATTGAGTGCATTGTTTATATTTCATACGTATTTTCATAGGGTGCTGCCCCGCTACCGATCAAGTCGTCAACTCTGCCCGTGGCCAACAAAGAAGAGTTGCGATTACAATTCCCCGTGTCCTCGGGATCTCAGCACAGGGAGAAAGCATCAGAATGGGTTCCAGTATCACCACCCAAAAAAGACATGGTAAACACATACATAATAAATCGTTCATTTCAGTCACAGATACATTCATTGAAGCCACGATAGCCGAATGGTGAAGGGGTCGGACTGGCCGACTCGTGATCCGGGGAACGCGGGTTCGGTCCCCGCCGCCGCTCGACTATTGTGGTGAGCTCACTCGTGACACAAGCATACGAGGGCGGCACTGAAAATTTCGGGAATCAAGGAAGTGAAACAACATTACTATTTAAAAATGTATTTATTGCTTTTTAAAGTATTCTCCGCGAAATTTGACACATTTTTCCATACACGAAACCAATCATTGAAGCAAACATTGCATTCGGAAGTTTGGGTCTCCAAAATGGCCGTTTTGTAGGCTTCCACAGCTTCTTCAGGTGATGAAAATCTCTGACCACGCAATTTATTCTTTATTTTAGGGAAAGTATAGAAATCATTAGGGCTTAGGTCGGGGCTGTACGGCGGTTGGACTAATAATTATATGTTTTCTTGCTTTAAAAACTCTTTTGTTCAGTGCGCGGTGTGAGAACTCGCATTGTCGTGATGGAGGATGATGCGGCGGTTGCAGTTCTCTTTACGGAGTTCAGAAACGACCTGTGGCAAACAAATGCTAGCATACTAATCTGCATTAACCGTTCTTTGTCCCCCAAGAGGAATAGTCGCAACATGGCCGGTTTTGGAGACAAACGTGGCCACCATTTTTTTTGCAACACTCCGTGAACGAACAATTTTTGTTGGCTTTAATTCATTTTCGAACACCCAAACTCGTGACTGGTTTTTTGTTTCGGGTTCGTACGCGTATATCCATGATTCGTCACCTGATACGATGTTGTATACAGCATTTGAGGATCCTGCATGTAATCTCCCGAGAGTTCTGACGCACCAAGTAACGCGAGCCGCTTTTTGCTCTTCACAGAGCGAATGCGGTATCCATCGGGAAAACAACTTTTTTACACCTAATTGTTCATGCAAGATTATTTGTATTTGACTCATGCCAATGTCTAAAGTTGCCTGAATTTCGCGGTATATCACATGTCGATCTTCTTCAATCAGCTTACGCACAGCATCAACGTTTTCTTAGGTGACTGCAGTTTTTGGACGACCTTGACGGGGATCATCACTGAGCTTGACACGTCCACGTTGAAATTCAGGAAACCAGCGATAAATTGTGGTTTTGGATGGGGCTTCATTACCAAATGCAGAAATCATCCGGTCAACACACTGTTTTTGTGTTAAACCACTTCAAAAGTCATAATAAATCATCGCTCATGAATTTTCTCGAGACAATTCCATTTTCTCAACGACTAAACAAGTTTGACAAGACCTTGTGATACGACCGAGAATCTTTTTTTAAATAAATAAATGGTATACGATTTTTGAAACCCTGGAGTTTGCAATTAAATAGATTTTAATATGACTGGAACAGTGGAAATATTCCATTCCCGATACTTTTAGTGCAGCCCTCGTATTTAGCTTAGTACGAGGGGCTAACGGTAGTATTAGTTATTTGTGTAATAACAAATTACTAATAATCTTTAAAAAAAAAAAAAAAAAGATTAAGGGAAGATAAGGGAAATCCTAAAGGGAGATGTGACAAGGGGCGGGGCCGGTGTCGCAGCATATGCCCAAAAACAGAACACATTGCTGCTAACGTCATAATGTAAATAGTTTACATTGCTTTCGTTGTACTAAAGATTATTCGAACGTTTAGTACTGATACCGCAGTGGATGATGAGCACATATTTTGATTACTTTGTGTGTGTCAATTTCTAATGCGACACTGAATTTCGAACTCAGCGCATTAGTTGGCATCTCTTTAAATCTCTTTAGTTTCAGCCAAATGACCTCCACTGCTGGACAAGGCCTACATATAAATACTTATGTTTAAGTACACACTTATGTTTATTTATAGCCTGACCAGGAACATAAAAACCCTCGCCATGTTGCGGAAAACTAATGGTACTAATTTCTTTTAATGGCAACAGTAACTGAAAACTTCATTGACATGTCACCTTGCATGTCAGTCTATTGCTGTCAAAGTGTAAACAAAGTTTATTTTAAATGTGCGCAATTGGTTTTATGAATTAAATTGCTAAAATATTTTTATAGTCGTGAAAGAAAAGTGGTTCACAATGTGTTAAAGTATTTGTCGAAGAGAAATACTAAGGGTTTGGACAATATTTTCATTGAATAATGTTTCCGACAAAGGTTGTCAAATTGACTGACATGTTTATCGTATAGTACAGTCCACTATGAAAATTAGCTGTGGTTTGTTTCAACTACCTATTTTAAAAACATTGCAGTTGAATATTCAAGTTCTGAATTTGATTATTGATGAATAATAAAATAAATTCTACTAGATCGATTGATGGTTTCATTTAATTTATTTAAACCAGGTTACCTATAATAATATTTTTTCGTTAATTTATGAAAATATCAAATTAGCCCGTAATCCTGAATCCTGATACATAAAGTTAGCCTATTAATTTAACACAGGTACGACTGTACTCAGTGTTGCACTATCAAATGCAATTGACGCGCCACTATGCCAGGGTTTTTATGTTCCTGGTCAGGCTATAACTATTACTACATGTTCTTTTTCACCGAAAGGCATCTACTACTAGAAAAAGGCCTTCCACAATGATGTGACCACGTTAATCTAGGAGTTCCTCGCGGTCAATTTATGTATCTTTCTTGCTAAATAAAAATGTATATGACTACATTTTTTTGAGCTAGTTAATCATAAAAGTTTTTGTTATTTTCAGCAAGTGGCAAAACTCAATTCATCGAAATCACATAAGGCTGATATTCCAGCTATAGCTCCTGCAGAACTTACTACAACTTCATCAAAGTAAGTGCATTATAAAGAACTATGTATTATGAAAACCGAATCCAAAACCTATGTAGTTAGCATTATAGTAGTTTTATTTGTCCTACTTATGTTGCAATTATTAGCAAATGATACGAATAAAGTAGATACTATAACTAGTATCACGACTAATTCTGACCTAAAGAACTTAACCAACACTTCATGCCTAAAGTTTTTTTTTACCACAAACAACGCTTTCTAATCTATTACTACGTCCCCTGCGTGCCCAAACAACAGCACCCAGGAAGATTTTATGAATGCTACTGACAAAGCCACTCTTTTAGCAGAGCTTTGGGCTAACACAGTGTAGGTTTGTTGTCGACACGACAAAAAGAAGACTACCTAGTCAATTTATTATTTATATTTTTTGTCAATAGGTCGTCTGGGCCCCTAGCACTACCAGCGCCGCCCACTCCTACGGCCACTCCATCTTATATGAAGAGTTTTACGTCCGGCTCGCGTAAGTCATCATCATCATTTCAGCCACAGGACGTCCACTGCTGAACATAGGCCTCCCCCAATGACTTCCACATCGCACGGTTGGTAGCGGCCTGCATCCAACGCCTTCCCGCTACCTTTATCAGGTCGTCGGTCCACCTTGTGGGTGGACGTCCCACGCTGCGTTTACATCTATTTGTAATATTATCTACATTTACAAATGATTTAATAATTAAATAAGACTGTTGTTTGAGACATAAACAGAACTACATCAAATAAATCGCACCTCCCGCAATAAACACTTTTCAAAAGTATGTATTCCCACTTCCCACCAATATTGAATATTGGCACCATTTAAAAGCCTCGTTCTAAACTTCATTTCATTAAAGGAAATGTTTTTACCCCAAAAATGTGTCTTTAAAAGGATTCAGAGTCACTTCTTCAAAAAATAGGTAGTTACGCTTGAGCCAACTTTTATGGCTATAAAACTGTAAAATTCGGATTAATCGCTATCCATCTGTTAAAGGGTCACGTGAGATCATTATTTGGTTTCATAACCACAAAAATTGGTCTACTTGGTCCCAGAGGTGGGCCCCAAGTGAGGCCTTTATTCAAGTCACATTTATGGTACCTGTCAATTGTTTATAAAAAAAATGATAAGTTTATTTATTGGGCTTTCAAATAACACCAATATTGTTGGGGCACCATGATTGTGTCAGAAGAAAATCTTTTTAAGTTCGCGTCGCGGAAGGTTCGATTTATTTGATGTTGAGTGTATTCCCCTTATTCTCACAAACAAATACTTAAAAGCAGAAGTCTGTAAGTTGCCAAAAATGTCAATCGATATCGAATCATTCAAATTCAAATCAAATTCAATCATTTTTGTCCATCAGAGTTGACGTCAGTTGTGAATATCCCAGCGCTCCCCGCCCCCGGGCCCCAAGCTTACCCACCAGGGATCGATCCACCGAAAATTGTAAGTATTCTGTTTTAGAGGACACTGAGATATACATACAGGGTGGAAACGATAAGTGATCTCACTCGATTATTTCAAACTTCACAAGATATCGAAAAACTGGTTACTGATCCTGAAAGTGCTTCACGAGCTCTTTCTAACGGTATCAGTAATAGGTTACAGAATTAACTGGATCTATCCGAAAATGCAATATTTTCAGCCTCCATACTAAATGTATGCCAGCCAAACAATGTTAAAAGTGTTTATTTTTTTTATTAAATAAACACTTAAAATGTACTCGTAAATTGCATTTTTATTTAAAATTATTCATGGGAAACATTGGTTCTAGGCTTTACTTGCTATAATATTATCAATACATGAGTCCCATGACTGTGACAGTACTAAATGTATGGAAGTTGGAAACATTGAATTTTCGGATAGATCTAGTTTATTTTGTAACCTATTATTGATACCGTTGAATAGAGCTCGTGAAGCAATTTCAGGATCAGTAACCAGTTTTTCGATATCTTGTATAGTTTAGAAATAATCGAGTGAGATCACTTATCGTTTCCACCCTGTATAGTGAGATTCAGTGAATGAAGCCTATATTATAAATTAATTGTTAAGTAGTGTATCGCCTACATAATATTGGTATGACATGCAAACACAGATAAATAAAACAAAAATATTTTTGATGAAGGTTTGAAAATTATGTAGATTGGTATATCGTTGCCATGTTTTGAACATCCCAGCATTCGTTCGTTCGTTTCAGCCGAAAGACGTCCACTGCTGGACAAAGGCCTCCCCCAAGGATTTCCACAAAGACCGGTCCTGCGCCGCTTGCATCCAGGCGCCTCCCGCGACCTTCACCAGATCGTCGGTCCACCTAGTGGGAGGCCAGCATTATGAAGATTTATTACAAAAACCTAGCTTGCTAAGTCGTAGAAACTACTTATTCTTATGTTATATGTTTTTACAGGATATGGCGTCAATAGTGTCTCAAAAGATAGCGATGATACGCAGAGAACAAGAACAGAATGAGTTGACCGGTGTTACGGCACGAGGTGTAAGTATTATTAGCATACCATAGTCCAGCTAGTTTTGAATAGCTTCCAGCTTCACCGGGTAGAGTGGCACAGAGTACAGAAGGTATTCAATGTTCGTGATTGGCCCGTATCGAGCAAGTAAACGTGTCTGAACACCAAAAGTTTAGTCGAGTAGGTTACTAAATCGTTTAATCGTACCAGTCAGATTTATTCTATTTTGACAGACGAGTAGTACCTCCCATCACGCGTCCTCTCTCACTCGCTCTCCGGCTAAACGAGTCCGAACCGGTCGATTTAGTCGAGTTCATATAAAAAAAGTACTCTCACTTGTAAACTGTACTCTGTATGTAACGAAACTATTCCCGCCTCTATCCCACCGCTGCAACTCCTGTGTAGCCAGGATCTACAGCTTGACCGCCAATAAAAACCCAACCAGTGAAGGTCAAGTTTGTCCCGGGGAAAGTTAAACTGTCATTGGACCCGCAACGAAATTAATCAGAACATAGGAGTTTGAAGTTAAGGTTCGATTCTTGTCTACTCACGGACATTGCCCGGGAGCGGCGAGCGTTCGGCGAACGAACGAGCAATGTTCGGTTCGCGAGCGAACATCCACGAAGACAATCCTGACGCACTCTCTTCAACGACTTTGCACTAAACGGTCTCGATAACATTGTAAATTTATATCGAATAGATAACTAATTTCATACAGTCCACTCCTTTCATTTATAAACTTCCACTACACAAAATCAAAATCAAAAGTATTTATTCAGTTTACACCACAAGTGGCACTTATGAACGTCAAAATATTATTATAGAAAATAATAAAAAAAGAAAAGGTAGCCCTTATGGGGCACTTTACATGTCTCCTTATCTTTTGGGCCCTACCAGCGCTTCGAGACAAACATAATTGGCAAGTTCTGAGAAGAAACGCCGGAACAAACTCAGTCACCACTAATTGCCAGGAATTATCTAACAGTAGAAATAACAACTATCGAAGTAACAATTCTGAATAAATACTGTTAATTGTAAAAAATATAAAACGTTAAAATAGCGGTATCGTTATAGCCAATGAGCTGCTGTCATAGTGACATTGACGTTACGTCAATGTCACACGAGAATCAAACGTCAGAATAGAGGGACGCGCGGAGTCGACTCCGCGCGCTTTTGCGCTAAGTGATGAATTGTATCTAAAATAAGGCAATATACTGTGAAAGTTAAGTAGGTATCCAGTGTTTTATTTATGAGAATAGATCGACCGGCCTCTAATAATACATAAGCTTTAAACTATCTTTTTAACCAAGCACGTATCCCCCAGTTCGGCTGGAGCTCCGACACGAGCCTGGGCCAGTTCACGGGCTCCACGGGCGCGCAGATCCTGACGCCGCGCGAACTCGCCAGCGGCACGCAGGCCTGGGCCAAGAAGGTACATCACACGGGCGGCAGCACTTCACACGTGGGACTTGCTCTTAAACCACCATTGCGTTTCTTGATTCAGCTGCTTCAAACGTGTATACAGGGTGTCAGGTAAATGGGTATATGAGCCGACACTAGCCCATGTTAACATGGTCATATAAATGGTATGGTGAAGTCAGAAATTTCATATCATCATTTTAATTTTTTTAATTTTCATACAAAATAAATTTTATAAAATCCGATTTGTATGAAAATTAAAATAATCTTAAAATGAAGATATCAATTTTCTGACTTCACCATACCATTTATATGACCATGTTAACATGGGCTAGTGTCGGCTCATATACCCATTTACCTAACACCTTGTATATTTTTATTATTGATGCTACCCTAGCTGGCGCCATTGGCGAGTAACTTAGTGACTTACTACAGTAAGACAGAGGTGCGAATTTAAAGTTCTGTCACTCATTAGTGGCTAAGACAATGGCCACAGTCACTGTAGGATAAGAATCCGTCACTCTAAAGGCTAAGAAAATGGCGCCAACTGGTGAACACTGAAGCGGTAGGAGGGCTATCGTTTTAGCGCTTACTAGTTGACGTCACTGATGAGGACGAGTGACACGACCTTACTCTATAGTGGGGCCTCTGTGGAGTATTCTATCAGTCTGGTGGTTAAGGCAGTGGCGCCAACTGGTGAAGATGGAAGCGGCAGGAGGGTATGCAATTATGCATTCAATATAGCACTACAAATGCTATAGTCTTCCCACCGCTTCAGCGCTCACAATAGGCTAGATGACAAATTCAATTATTTGTCCGTCAGACAGATAATTAGAAAATATTACTCATATTTTTTTATTTTCTTTCATAATTAAATACTAACAGTGCTACATCGAGTTGAAATTGCGCGATACGTCACGCTTGAGTAGAATTTTTACTCAAAAGTGAAGTCACGCGACATTTCAACTCAATATAATACTGTAATTATTCGATTATGAAATACATATGTCAGAAAAATATGTCTCTAAAATTTTTTATTATCTGTCTGACGGACTAAATAAAATTTCGATTTCATTACCCAGTCATCATCCCTATTTGACGCCACTGTCTTAGCCACTAGCCAGTGACCCTACTCGCTAGTAGCGCCAACTGGGGACCGCTAATACAGTAGCCCTATTGCAAAGAATTGTATCATAAAATAAGTAAAATTGTTATCTGCTCTGGTGGTCGAAGAACAGTTCATATTGAACATTTTAAAGTATCAAAAGAAACCCATATAATGCAATCGTATTTTACATAATTAAATTGAGTATGCACACATATTATAAACATGGCTGGACATTGTTTTCGACCCTATATGTGTCTATGTGTTTCATTTGGGAAACCGACTGCTAAAATAGTTTAGCAAACGTGTTTAAAAATTCAATATTCATTAGAAATAGAGTTATAGGATTACACCTAGCTCTTAAAAAGGTTCAGTTTTACGTTGCCTTTTTCACATTATCGATAATTGTTGCATTTAAAATATGATTGCCACTAAGAACTGAGGTTTCATTTGATATTTTAAGCCTCTCGAATAACTTTTATTTCAGCTCAAAACGTCTTCGTTCGGGATACGCGTTCACTGATGCAGTTCCGGCGTCACGGTCAGAACTTATAATACATATTGTATTATGCTTTCTGACCAGTTATTGATATTTTCAAGTGGTTACAACAACATAGAAATGTCATTAGATTTGTCAGATTTCCATTGGCCGAAATGAAAATTGACTACTCTACAGGGTGTTGATTTCAATACTCGCCATATTTAGGGAGTTGATTAAGTAGCTTATTCTGATCACGAATCAGTAAAAAAATAGACTTCGAAAAAATTTAAAACGAACTTTAACTTTAGTTAGTCAAAAAAAATACCTATTTAAGTATTTATACTACCGACTTTGACATGATAAGCGTGCGATCCGCGTAGCTCGATGGTGCCGCAGTATAAACTATTGCAGTATTGCGAGCCACAGACAGCTGATTTCGCACGGAAAATATTCGCTAAAAATTCCACTTTTGTTTGTATTTTTTTTTCGTGGATAATGCGTTTATATAAGTCATAATAGATCACCTAAATAAATTATGGCGAAGATTGAAATCAACACCCTGTATTTCTTTTCTCTATTTCAAATGCCTATTTTCAAGGCTCTAATTCAAAGATAAAATGGCAATTTAATAAATGTCGTGGTATGTTGATTCCTTCTAAACAAATGCTAAAAATTATTGCACAACTCCTTATCATATTACATCACGTCAATTAGTGATAGCGAAACTACATACTATCGTTTTGATGGACTTTAACAAATTCTAAAGCTCTAAAAAGTCATGGAAGAATTCCCTCTCTCTTTCGAAATATTGAAAAAACATGCCTTTTATTCAGGGTAATAAACTTGACCTTGATTGACCCTTATGTCATAGTAAAAATGCCGATGCCTTATCATGATATCAACGTCATTCCTTAGATAAGTTATACGTGATATCAGCTTAATGGCTTTATCAGATAATAATTGATTATCTTTTTAAGCACTTATTTATACCTATTTCTGTCTCTTGCTCTCTAGATACAAATTTCAGGATCTAAGGACAATTATTTTAGACATCATAGCCGACTTTATGTGACAACCTAATATTAGATCTTCAATAACTTTAAAACCAAACAAATAAGTAGTTCTACTAACTTGAATAGAAAATTATTTAGAAGGAGAATATGGGATGTAAGGGAATGGTTGGCAAATCAGTGAGTTTTGGTTTCTGTGTTAAAAACTATGAGAAACGAAACTACTCTTTTTATGTCTCCTTTTAATCACTTATACACAATAAAATGTATACTGATCTTCTGGGCAAGCTGAGACTCCTAGATATTATTTGCTCAAGTTCGAAACATTGGTTTGAGTTCGCACTATACATTTTTGCTAACCAGTTCCTTGCACCTTTCTCCCATATTTAAAGAGACTGTTTTAGTCCAGTATGTTGTTGTAACCACTACAGACGTTGTACCGTGTAAAGTGGGAACTCGCGTAGTTCGCTCGTTACACCCACAAATTTTGGCGAGGACGTAATGGTGATTGCCGTGCCATAACTTGGCATGCCATTCACCATTATCACGAATTTGCATACAAATATTCAGTTTTCCCCTTTTTTTATTGACTGACTTATTTTTCAACTCTCTCTTTTTATCTTGTTTAAGTTTATTATGTTTTTGTTTTTCGGATCTAATCGCGAAAGGTCTTGTTTCTTCCGATAACTTCTTATGAATTGGCATCGATACCATGTTGTTGATAATATAAATATTTACAGTNTTTACATTGTGTTTTCTCGATTTTAAACTGATCGGTGCACAGGCTGATTCCCGCCCTTACTCAGGGAAGGTTGTTACTGTTTAAGAAAACTGTATTCTATCCTAGAACCTTGCTCATTCTTGTGCATGTAGGGATGGCTGCCTGTTTCTGTATCTGTATGACTGTATTCTGCATCATTTCATGTCTCTATGCTATGTAATAAAACTCCGTTTAAAATAAAATCTGTAAATATCAGTCAGTCATTTTCGTAAATACGTCGAAAGCCTAGCGATTCTTTGAGCAACACTCATCCAATCGAATCGAGTATTAAAAGTGAACAATCGATTGTTACCGAGTGTTTTATTCCCTGCACTGTTCAATAGAGTTGGGAATAAAACTGCTCATAGGATAGCATGGCTTTTTACGGGGAATCCATGAATATTTGTTGCAGCTTTTAAGTGATAAGGGGACGCGCGCACTGAGTTACCGCACGGTCGGCCCATGACACGGGCATGTCTGAACGAGGTAAGTATGACACGTGGATGGAACACAGGTTTTCGAGGCATCGAGTCTTTGAAGGAATTAAAGATATTCAACTGCTATTCGATTCTATGAGTATGAATACGTCTTGATAATAAAGGTTTTCATCCACTCAGCTGAGATNTTTGCATATTCAAGGGTCGTTTAAGTATTGTTTATGAATTGAAAGGCTTGTCATATGGAACGCATTGAGAAATGTCTCATTTCGCATAGCGTTGCTGCTTTGCATAGGTAAGTATCGTTTGTGAATACGGGTGTAATTGACCAAGATATGTAATATTACGTCATGTCATAATTTCTTGGAATGTCTGACATGCGATCATTGAACCTACACATCTAACGCTACATTTACATATAGGATCAACTGGTAAGAGCGGCGCCAGTGGAGGGCGGCATGGGAATGCACCTTCTCCAGAAAATGGGCTGGACCCCCGGCCAGGGTCTGGGCAAAGAGGGCACTGGCACCCTCCAGCCGCTATTGCTCGAGGTCAAACTGGACACCAAGGGTTTGCAGGCCAAAGAAGAGGCTAACAACAGGAATAACAGAGCTGTGAGTATTGTTTTATACGACGTGTAAAAAATGAAAATTCTCTTTAATTTGGACATGACATGATTCATACATATTAACGCCTCCATAGTCTGGTAATAAAACGCTCTTTTGATATTCTATCTAATTTAAATAACCTTCTGTTTTTATATCCAAATTAAACATGCTATCATCTACATTTGAATGCTGATGTAGACAAGTAAGACCTTGAAGTCCTTATCATAAAAGGCAATTTATTTAGCACATACCTGTGAATCGAACAATAGTACATAAGACATCCTGACATAAAAAATTCGTTCTTACATCTCCAAATCTGGCAGCTAGTCAATCAATATAGTAACTTTAAGCCTAGGCGCAGGCCGCAGACCACCGACTTTTATTAGGTGACCAATTCTAATGTGTATGAAGAATTGGCCGATACCAAATCGGCGTAATGTTCATACATCTCTATACTGATCAACAGCCCGACCCAACTATCGGTTAGCTAAAAATCGGTGGTCTGCGCCTAGGGTCTACTTATAAGATAAGACCGCTTAAATTGTGCCGTTTCTTTTCTGTTTTTCTTTCTCTCTCCTTATCTACTGTCTCTTCCAACAGAAACAGCTGCAAAGACACAGCCGCGCACGTGGGGGCCCCGCGCCGCTGGTTGCCGGCGGGAAACACCCTGTATCGTTGCTGGGCGAATACTGCTCGAAGCAGAAACTTGGACCGCCCGAATACAATCTATGCTTCGAGTGCGGCCCTGATCACAAGAAGAACTTCCTGTTTAAGGTGTCCGTCTGTACTATTCGATATTTATTTATACTGTTGTTATAACCAGTTGTTCTGACTCATAAAGGTTCGGCCAAACCAATGCGATCTGCCTGCGTGCGCGATGGCGATGACAATAAATGCGTTTAAGTCTTATCGCCATCGTGCACGCCGACTGCACGAACCTTAACTTCTTTAAAAACTATTTACTACAGCTCTTAAAACGGAGTTAGTGATGTCTTATTATTTGCCTTTGCCATACAAAATTGTGTATATCAATTAAATTGATCTGCGATGTCTATCCACTACGAATACATATTGCTAGGTGGTCTGGTCTTGGAATAACATTCTATCAATAAAATTAGATTTTCCCCTTCAAATTCAATATGTATTTCAAGAATAAAATGCACATATCGAATTTACGAATAGGTGTTCCTATACTTTTAATTGTTTTTGCTGTCTTGTGGAGCTAGCTAGTCAGCCACTGATTAAGTTTTTTTAACATTTGACTTTATTTTACAGGTTAAAGTGGCGGGAACAGAATACCAGCCTGCAGTCGCTAGCGCTAACAAGAAACAGGCGAAAGCAGACGCCGCTCAGTTGGCACTGCAGAAAATTGGCATACTAACTTAATTTGTAAATATAAAAGTATAGGATAATTGTAGAATTACATAAATCCATGTATGCATTTACCATTGTGTAAAAGAGCAGTTTTGGTTGTATAAAATAAAATTGGAATATTCAAATATTTCGTTTCATTTCAGTATCCATTTCATTTCACTAACCCGCATAATTTAACTCGACGAAGTTAACATCTTATTGCAAATTGTATGTAAAAAAAGTTACAGCCTTATATGTTATTGTCGACCTGCGTGCCAGACGGAATAAATGAAAAGTAGCTTTGAAGCTTAATGTAAGATTTCAGAATATCGCTTATTGACGAAGAATCATTAAAGTGATACAGGTCCTCATACAAAACAACTAGAAGAAACGACAGATGTGATGTAGATGAAAATAATAGTTGAACTGTACATTATATTCTGTGACCGAACGGAGATGGTGTCGGAATGGCGGACTCGATATCCTAGGAACTCTGGTTGACCCGCCGCCGGACTTATATGGCTTATTACGAAAGGATAATGGGTCATCGCCCTTCTTTAATTACGCAGTAGGAAAAATGTCTTTCGCGTAGGTCGACTGTGTGACGCAATAACGCCAAAGTATGGATCCAATAGGAGTCACCTAGAAACTTACTTATAAAAAATCTTTCAGAATAGTAGGTAGGTATATCTTGCGACTGTTTATATGGGCGGGGCGTTTATGGTAATGATTATTTGCGCACTGCGGGAGGCGCGATAAAGAATTTGAATGACAAATTGAGATCCACTAAGCAATAAAAGCTTATATGATAAGGACTCGAGATTAAATGTGTTTATGGTTATTTATTACAATATTATGTTACTATGTATCAAGTTTCATTCAGTCATTCTACTTACACCTAGAATATTCAATTTGTTATAGTATATGTATATTGAGTATTTGTTTTTTTATGTGTGCAGGAAATAGGAAATAAATAATGCAATTTTAAATATCTTTATAAGTAGGTATTTAATTTTCACTAATAATAAAACAACATTTTATGCATTTGAAGGAGCCTATTCTATGTCTTTGTGTAGACTCAAATTGCCACATTATAAGTGACAAAACCTCTATCAGCTACTTTCACAAAGGCTTCTACACCTAACAAACAATGTTACAATAATTTCAAAATATTTTATTGACTGGATAAGAATTAAAATTTCTAATTCATGTCTATCTACGTCTTCCGTTTATATAGCCATCACAGATCTGTTCCTTTTTAAGTTTCAATTTTCATTTAATCTTTCTTGTCAGATTGTTGTTTGATTCTGTAGTCGGATAATGCTGCTTTGATAGCATCTTCAGCCAACACTGAAAGCAAAAAATACATGAAAATGGGAATCAATAAGGATAACTTATGTGATATACAGAAAAAGACATTCAACTTACTTGAACAATGTAACTTTACTGGTGGCAATGACAGTTCCTTTGCAATGTCTGTGTTTTTAAGCTTGAGTGCCTCATCCACAGTCTTGCCCTTAACCCATTCAGTGGCCAGAGAACTAGACGCAATAGCAGATCCACAGCCAAAGGTTTTGAATTTGGCATCAATGATCTTCCCATTCTCATCAACTTTAATTTGCAACTTCATCACATCCCCGCAAGCTGGGGCGCCAACTAGACCAGTACCAACACTCTTATCCTTTTTGTCCAGTGAACCAACATTCCGGGGATTTTCATAATGATCAATTACCTGAAAATAAAACAAATTATTGGTAGAAAGAGGTTAGAGGCATAGCACTTAGCAGCATACAGTAATGTGGAAACAAACAAGGATGGCTTATTGCATTGTATGCGCAACAACGCAATTAAGAAATTAGGTATTTGAATAAAAATCAATAGGACAACCTTGACATTGCACGAACAATACGCAACTTACGTTTGCGTGATACGATGCAGCATGTTGCAGAGTTCCAAAACTGCTGAGATTCTTAAGACTAACGCATCTGCGGATGCTTGAAGCTAAATACGACATGATGATGAAGATTACTGATTAACCTGCACACGGCAAGAATTTAATATTTTAACAAATACAATACAATCGTCTCGTCTCGTATTCGTCGATCGTTCGTAAATAAATTTGACAGAAAAAATTGACGTTGTCAATTATGACCACAGATTAGAGAGTATTATTACGTTCAGGAATAAAATTGAAGTTTTAGGCAGAGGCACAATTAACCTTTTCAGCGCCACGGTCGTCTATAGAAGACAGATTAACGTTTGGTGCCCTTCAGACCACATCTTTTAGAGAAGACAATCTAATCACAACACAAAATAAAAATATATAGACAAGAATGCTTTCTTTATTTTGTGCGTTTTTTACGATTGCCTATAAAACGTGACAAGAGTTATAAGTAAGGCCGTTTTTTGTATGGAGTTACATGACTCCGTGCCGTGAATGGATTCGACTTTCAATTTGATCAAAAAGTGCCAATGTCTAGCTGACCTACTGGTTATAAACAAGAAAGATTATATCTTGAGCCTAGATAGTGAGCAATATCTACCTAGCGATTGCTTATTACATTTATGTATTTATGAAGTGCATTAAATTGTTAAGAAAAGTGGTGTGGTGACTCGGTTGGACCCCTTGCCTCGACTGTTTAGGGTTATCGTATAAATCCCATTGAATCATTGAGGAAACTTAAGTTTCGCTTTAGAAGAGAGAATAGCAGGCGATAGAATAGAATGAAACTACGCAAAAATAATTGAAGTTATGTTTATAAAGTACAATACATAAAATTAAACGTGCAGAAATTAAACATAAATCTGTTGATCTTTATCCGGTAAAAAGCATAATTGATTACAAAATGCATCACTTTAATGTACCTATTGCTGTTGATTGCTTGCGCATGCTATTCACTTCTCAGTTGTCAGTGTTGTCACCTTTAATTTATTATGCTTACACATTACACTTAGGGCTGATTTTTCAATCGTCAGATATTTTTTAACTGAAGAATAACCTTGTCATTTTGACATATTTCCCGTACTAAAACTGTCAATGTGCCAAACTTATTCTTCAGTTAAAAGTTATCCGACGGTTGAAAAATCAGCCCTTAAACAAAATGTTAATGTTGTTCATATCTACTTTAGTGTAAACTTTTTGGTGATCTATTTAAATAAATAAAGCTCTTTGAGAACTCTTCGTTTACTTTTTTACTTCTCAAGAATCTCAATCACTTTGGGAAACTCCGAGCTTAGTACCCTCGTAAAAATTTTACTTATTGTTTTATGAGTTACATTTAATAAGTATTTGTATATTAAAATCTACTTGAGATTTGAGAGCATTTGTGATGTAAATCAAATCAAATATTTTTAAAGGGTTAATGCCACAGATTATAATCTATTCCAAGCAGACTAAAAAAAATCTGGCAACCCTGTTCCAACTAGATAACAATTTTTCAATTCATTCAAGGTTATTAAAATCATGACAATTGCTTTACGAGCGCTTTCCTCTTTAGTCGTCCCTTTTGTTGGTACTGCAATTTGCCGGTTTCAAACTACTGCAATGTAAGTACATCTCACCTATAAATGGAAACTTTTTACGGCATATTCCATTCCATTCCATTCCAGAATGTCGAAAACAGCTGTCAGTGACAGACTAATCATGACAGCGACTTCGTTTGTGGCTTGTGTTTGTGTCGCACTCGCTTGCACACTCATCAGCTCACCGGCCGCAGAAACCGGCACCTCATAAATACGTGACTAACTATTGATTATTATCGCCCTTCCGTGACTTTCCAGAAAAATGGTTGATAACAATCCAGATTACAAGAGTGCTACATCTATTCACGAATTCACCGTGAAAAATATCAAAGGCGAAGATGTGAAGTTGGATGTTTACAAGGGGCATGTATGTGTAATTGTAAATGTTGCATCCCAATGTGGCCTTACCGCAAATAATTACAAGCAACTTAACGAGCTCTACGAACAATACGGCGAGAGCAAAGGTCAGTAACAAATTATCGAAATTACAACTATACTCCATTGTATTGTTATTTGATTTGTAGGCCTGCTTGAATAACATAACACATTTTATTCTCTAGGTCTTCGTATCCTGGCATTCCCTTGCAACCAATTTGCTGGACAAGAACCAGGAGGCTCTGATGAAATTTGCAGTTTTGCAGAGAAACGCAATGTGAAGTTTGATTTGTTTGAAAAAATTGATGTCAATGGCGATACAGCGAGTCCACTTTGGAAATTTTTAAAGGTACCTATGTTTGTTTTTTGTAGGTTATTACTTTTTTTCCTATATTTAGCATTTCTGGTTAAAATTTTCTATTTGTGTTAGTAGCCTACTCTAAATTGTGCTAGAAAATCACTCAAAAAATTTTACTACTTCTAAATTTCTCAGTTATAAAAGTTCTATCCAGTGCCTCATAGCATAGCACCCAGTTTCATATACACTGACTGCATGAAATAGTTATTAAAGTCAAATCTAGTCTAGTAAAGAAACAGTTTCTACGGCTATTACTTCAACTTCCAATAGCTGAGAATCCCCACTCTGTTTACAGGTAGTTTTGGTATCACCCTTTCATTTCACTTGTGTAAAAGTATCACTAAGTCATTTACATAATATTATTATACACATGGGAAATTGCCAGGTGGCTCAATCAACCTTGGCGTACTAAATAATTCTAGTAATTGTACCTTTTCACCTTCACCTATTTGATTTGAAATGTGAAATCAATATTGCCACCTTCATTAATGGAAAGTTCCTAAATAGATAGAGTTATTGATTCTGATTGGCACGAAGTTTTCACAAGTCATTATCTTATTAAATGTATACTTAACTACTTTATGGTTTGAGAAAGTCATCATTTTGATTGTCAGATTACATTATTTTGGTGTTCAAAAATAAATAACTAAATGGACTTTGACCATCAGATAATCTCTTGAATCATGAATAAAATACTATACCTAACTTGATTTGAAACTGATTCATAGAATGAGTTGACAGTTTTTTTAACTAATTCCTTTTAAGGTAGTACATACTTGATTTGGTGGACTTTGATCTGTTTTTTATAAATAAATCATTGGGAAATGGTTATAGTCCACAGTTTTTTCTGTTATATTCTTGTTTAACATTATGTACCATTCCTTGATAAAATTATTATGTGTCCAACACCTAGATGCAGTTTTTAAAAGTTTTTATGAATAGGTATTACTTTTTTATCTGCAGTAATCTTGACCTTATCAACTTGATTGATAAACATGTAAAAATAATGCATTATTTTGTTGCCACTTAATTATTTTAAATGTTAAGAAACAGGGACAACAAATATTGTTTCCTTGCTAATACATATTTAATTATATTATTATTATGTATAATAATAGACTGTATTCCGCGCCAATAGAATCCGGCAATTTCCTAAACAAATTATTATATTAATGTTAAAGATATTATTAAAAACAGTTGGTGTAAATAGTATTTCAGGTATTACAAAGTACTAGCTTTCCGCCCGCGGCTTCGCCCACGTGTAATTTTGTCTGTCACAGTAAAACTTTATCGCGGCGTCCCTGTTTCAAAAACCGGGATAAAAACTATCCTGTCCTTTCCCGGGACTCGAACTATATCTATGCCAAATTTTATCAAAATCGGTTCAGTGGTTTAGGCGTGAAAGTGAGACAGACAGAGTTACTTTCGCATTTATAATATTAGTATAGATAGTATAGACTAGCTTTTGCCCGCGGCTTCACTCGCGTGAAATTTAATTTGTCACAGATCGTCATAAATTATCTGTACATGATGCAATAAACATTTAGGACTATGACTATTCTGGGTTATAAACAATATTATAATACTGTAAAGTTACATCAAAATCCTTTCAGTAGTTTTTGCGTGAAAGAGTAACAAACATCCAGACATCCAGAATAATAGAAAATTAATAGGATATCAATTGACTAGCTAAGGTGACTAACTACCCTACCCTACTGTGACACTAAATTTTCTTATTCTTTTTTTCAGCACAAGCAAGGTGGTACTTTGGGCAATTTCGTCAAATGGAACTTCACTAAATTCATCGTTGACAAGGATGGCGTACCGGTAGAACGCCATGGCCCACAAACTGACCCCATAGATTTGGTGAAATCTCTTGAGAAGTACTGGTGAATGGAAGAGAAACTGGATAGTTGTGTTATTTTTAGGATTATGCTGTTACTTATTAATGCTTTTAAAATGTGGATAGTGTAGTTGTTGTTTTTATTGAAATATTATATGTATTTATTAGAGGTATGCCAGATGTTCGTGATCAGTATGGCTGGTCTATTTTTTTATTGTTATTCTGTTAGGCCGAAAGTTCAGTGATTATTGTCAGTCATAGTAAAAAGGCGAATCGTTGCAGCAATCGTCAATAAATTGACGAGATAACATTCACTTTAGATTGAATATTTTATTTCGTAATAAGATGAATTTGGCATTATAAAATTAGTGTGCACTACCTACTTAAATTAGATACTATTTGAAATTAAAACGGCATATAATCTGATTACACTGGCGCCGATTATTAGGCCAAGATAATAATAAGTTTAATAGTATTTTATTTTAATATAGTGCTGACACAATATGACATTAATTACATATTTATAAGAAGCAATGAGCACCGATTACAATTAAAAAGTTAATTGTAAACGGTGGTCGCTGGTTCTTATTGGTCTTGATTAATGCCAAATAGTGTTGACACTATATTGAATTAAATCTCATTTAACGTTTTATTTGCACTCTTAGCTTAATAATTAACTCCACCGTATAACAAGATTATTGACGTTTCAAATTTCATTGAATATTGTTACTATTTAAATTAAGTCACTTTGGTACGAATTAATTTTATTGTGATATGACACGTTTATTTTATTATGACGTAACATATTGTTAATCTAAATTGAACGACATTTGGTCACCTTACTGACGATTTCTGCGACCTTCGTTTTTCGTAAACTTGATTTTTGGTAATTTCTAATGGCTAGAACTTAATTATTTATTATTATATGAAATGTAAAAGACATGTAATACAAAAAAAATACATAATGAATAACTTAACTTGTCACAATTTTACATAATTAATTTTGCATTTTTTATATTTCTGTTAAGTGTGATTAAGGAACAAAAAATAGGTAGTCTGACATCTGACGTGTTGTTCACTGTATTGAGGTGTCATTTATCAATTTAACACTGTTTAAACTTTTCCCTGTTTTGAGACAGGCTTGCAGACATTGACGATTTGAGTGACATATTTTTATATTTGAAAAATATATATTTGTTAATTGTGTATAATGAATTCGTAGGTACAAAGCGCTAAATAAATATTTATCTTGCACACTTACTTGTATTATTCTATACCTTTATCACCTTTATTCATTTATAAGTCAAAATATAATATGAAGTGAGTAAAAATATTTTCATATTATACCTAGTAGGTTCTAAAATACACGACAGACATAAATAAATTTATACAGTGTAGTGTACCATCAGAATACACGCCAAGAAAAAAAAACGCCCTCTGGCACTTGGCGCCAGCGTTCCAAACCACCGCGCCGAAACCGTTTATTCCCTTCGTCTCCACTGGTGGGGAACTGGGGACAAATCGCTAATTAAACGAGCTCCACAACCAAAACAAACTTGAAATACTCCTTCAGCATTACGAATAGAATAAAGTTTATTTACTTTTTCCTTCAATATTCTTTGATTTAAAAATATCTGGTGTCTCGTAAAGACCTTTTGCATCAGACGTCTATTTTTTCGGTCTATCTACTTACTACTTTTAGAGATCATTTTGCGAATAGGACCGAATGCGATTGGGACCAATTACGAATGGGACCGTTTTTTAATTCATGACAAAATGCGAATGGGACGGTACAACACAACATACTAGATTCCCATACAACTGACTAGATTTTTTATTGTGTTTTGCTCAATACAATAACGACTACAGGTAGACGCTTCAAATACATACTTTAAAAGGTAATAAAATTAAATAAACTGGTTCAATTCTCCCTATTGTTCAAACAATATTTTATTGTATTTTTCAGTATTTCAAAATGTAGCGCGCAAAATGGAACATAAACACTGCATAAGTTCTACCAACATTAACACAAAAATCCTTATCACAGAGAGAGGGAAAGAGTCGGTTGATCTATTTCCGTTACCTTTTTTCAACCAATCACAGATCGCGGTTTGAAAATAATTCGAGCGTCGTTGGTGCGTGGTCGCTTGGCGTTGTCGCGGTTCTTTGCGTTCTCCTTGTGTTGTTGTGGCATTTTAGCAATAATTTGTGTGTGTTGTTTACATTGAAAAAAAATATCATCGGAGTCAAGAAAACAAAATCAATATTCTTCTAATGTCATTTTTATGATATCGCCCTGATTGATCAAGTAAATATCTTCACGTGTGGTAGTGTTAAATTTAGATACAAAAAAGGCTGGTATAACACGTTGTGTAATTTTATTCCAGCATGTCGACAAGAAGTGGTCGTGTGAGAACAAGTGCTATTGAAACGAGTCCTATTCGAACTCGTAAAGGTGTATCGCCGCCGCGATCCCCCGCCAGAACGCGAAAAACTTCTCCGGCGTCCAAAAGTTCCCCGGCGCGGAAAAGTTCACCCCCCGCGCGTTCATCCCGGAAATCTCCTTCACGAAAATCGCCGAGTCGTAAGCCAGCGTCTAAATTTCCCGCCCGAAAATCGCCTTCAAGAACTACTAAAGAAACCGCGGAAACAGCCTCCCAGAAGTCACCAACTAAACGTCCGGCTATAAAAACTGATACCAATGTTTCTGTAAAACTTGAAGACCTCTCATCTAAGTTAGAAATTTTCCGCAGCACTCGGTCCAAACGGACTGAATATTCTATCAAGGATGTCATCTCTTCCACATCAAATGATTTGCCCGAACTTGAGAAGGTAAATGGTGTTGATTCAAATGATTTGTTTGGTCTAAGAAATCGTAAATCTGTGGAAGAAGTACCTCCACGCAGATCCAGTCGGTTGAAAGAGGTTATGGACAATGTGCCTGACATAAGACGCAGTCTTAGCAAATCTATCAGCAAGTCGGTGAGTAAGTCGATTAGCCAGTCTCTTGACACATATTCAGATGAAGAGATCTCTGAGGAAGAGTTGTTCAAGGATAAAATTAAGCCTGTCACCAGAAAACTTGCTACTCCTTTACGAGGCAGCGAGAGCAAACTTGTCCAGATGGGCAGTCGGTGGGAGTTCGGTGGCAGAGTTGGATCTGCATTGCTAATTATTCTGATTCCTCTTGTGGTATTCGCGATTTTAATTTCATGTAAAAAATCTTGCTCATTGAAAACTATTTTGAATATAAACAAACATAAGTCTATTGGACAATGGCTAACAGTACATGCAGGAATATTCTCTTTATGTCAATATTTGGTGCAAGCAATATTTGCGATTGTACCATTATTTGGAACAAAAGCTGACAGATTAGATGAGACTGGCAATAAATATTGTTTCAATGCATTTTTTGCCAGTGTGTTCACTGTGAATGCACTTTATCTATTGGATTTCTTCGAAATGTATGACAAAGAAGCCTTGTTAAATGAGTACTTGCAGTTGGCCGTGGTATCGTACATATTTGCCGTTCTACTCAGCTTGCTTCTGTATGTAAAGAGCAGGAATATTGATAGCACAGAACTAAACTTGTATGGAAGTACTGGATACAAACTGTATGATTTCTTCATGGGACGTGAGATTCACCCTTTTATCAAGAAACTGGATGTTAAAGTTTGGATATCAAGAGTGTCCAATATTAATTCTGTGAGTATGTTTAATATTATTTTTATCAGTTTATCTGAGTCAATTATATTCTCGATGTTCAATGCCATTAGTTGAATTGCATTTACATAGCAATCTAATTAGATTCATGACTAACTGAATTGATTATCAACATACTCTTGCTCAGACAATGTTCTTACAAGTTGAATATATTGTGAAATTTTCATGTTATTGTGAACTTATCCATCTACTTTAGTAATAATTTGTTTCTTTTTTCAGCTTATTCTAACAGCGTTGATTTTTAAACAAGGATTGCAATATGAATACACAAAAGTTGAAGATCAGAATCTGTCCATTGACAGTTTGAAAGTTATGTTACAAAACATGCAGACCAAACCAACCATCCTGGTGTTCTCGTTGATGCAACTGACTTACATCCTAAACTTTGTTATGAAGGAACACAAGGTCACAACAACATTTTTCTGGCAATCAGAAGGTGTTGGATACCTCCAAGTCGTATCCAGTGCTTTATACCCATTCTATTTCACATCAATATCTAAATTTGTGGCAGACACTCAGTTATCTCTGTCAACTAACATCTTAATCTCTGCTTCTGTACTATATGTGCTGGGATTCTTCATAATGCTTATTAGTAACAATATTAAACATGAATTCAGGACAAATCCATTACAACCCAGTATGGCAAGTAAGTTGTATTTTTATACATTTATTTATTAGTATCTGTGACTAGAGTCCTATAACTATTAACATTATTTTATTTATTATACTGATCAACTCATATTCAGTCAACTTCATTACAAAATATCCATCCATAATGATATAAGTAAATCCATAAAATAGTCAAGAATTTTATTAGCAGTGTACTGTAGATACTTAGCTGTCGATTCACATGATAGCACCTAGATAGTAGCCTTATATTGATAGAAACTCATAAGCATTGTTGCTTATTTTCAGATTTGGATTCAATGCCGACGTTCCATGGTAAGAAGCTGCTGGTATCGCGACTGTGGGGCTTGCTTCGGCACCCGAATTATGCTGGCGATATCTTGATACACCTAGCGCTGGCGACGCCTGGTGTTGTGTCGGAGAACTACGTAGCTGCAGCGCCTGCGTTGCTGACTATCTTGGTGTTGCTGCATCGAGCGTGGCGGGACCACGCGCGCTGCGGCCGCCGGTACGGAGCCGCCTGGAACAGATACTGCAAGAGAGTACCCTCCCTCATCATACCAAAGGTACTATAAAAAACAATTGACTTCCAACACCAAACGCTACGAACAAATCGAAATATGCATTTCAAACTACACCCAATTAGATGATGTACTAGATTGTAATGTACATAGTGATTATGTATGAACAAATATTACGTTCAATGTATTAATGATGAGATAATAACTTAACTATCTTAAGAGGGATCTCGAATAGTAAGTAGATTGTTGAAATGTTACATATTATATTATGTGTAGTTAGTTAATATGAGATTAATGACATTGCCATATAAACCACCGGATAAATTTTCGAATACTAAATTAGCTCTCTAAATTTAGACAAAATTGTTTTATTATTATTTGTCTTTAGATTAAATTATTTCTATTAGGCTCAAAATCTAGTATTCCTCTTGAGTAAGGTGAAGGCAATTTAATTTTACATGGAAAAAGTACCATAGCATAAGTAAAGATAAATTATTTTATGTGTTACATTATAATGACAATTCAATTATTTAAATATGATAAATTTATCATCTTGAGTTCAATTTTACCTGTAATTTAAATATAGCATTTAGGTATTATGGTTGGTATGAATTTTATAATACCAAAATCTCTACTTAAAATCCTTCAGGAAATGTTATTAGGAATTACAAAGTTCATTTTGATTTAATAATTATTACATATATTTGGGTGTTCCCATAATGAATAATATAGATGGTAATTGTATGGTAGGTAAAGAAGAAATAAAGTCACACGGTTTTTAATGCCATGTAGTTATAATATTGTATTGTTATAAATATATTTATTAGTATGTATTATGTACTATTGTGTGCCTCATACTTTAATGCTTTTAAAGCACAAAATTAAAATTAAAAGACAAAGATAATGTTGCTCATAGATCGATTTTGAAACTTGTTGCTCAATGCATTTATTCTATGGTTGTACTAAGATACTTATAAATGCTGATTCCGCCTGAATTGGATCATTGTATACTTAAGTTACTTGCCACTAAGTTTTTAAAATTTAACCATAATTTTGTTTAACTTTAAAGCAATATGAGTATTACAGCGCACTTTTTATTAGTATTAATTTTATTATATCAGTATATTTGACGATAACTAATCTTATTATGTATTTTACTTTATTTTTTATAGAAAACCAAAAGATAAGGTATTATAAATTGTACAAAATATTGTAAGTTTTGTATTTTATAATAATTGTAGAATCTTCATATTTTTTCAAAGCTGATGTTTTTTTAATTAGCGAATTTCATTGAATCTTCATTTTGACTTTTGAAAGCTATACAAATTGTTTTTTTATAATGCCTAACTAAAATATTGTGTTTAAATTCATTATTCTTACGGAACGAAACAAGATCTGCCTTATTTTTGTGTATGACATGACATTCATTAAATTTAATTAATCACAATGGTTATCTTTAAAAGTAATCTTAACATATCTAATTATCTACTTTGACGAGCTTTAATGTAAATAGAATACTCAGATATTTCTGAATGTTCATCTTCATCCATTACATTAGAAAAAAAGACTGAACCATCACCATAAAAATATGTAATATTTTGAGATTTTATACCTTCAGTCAACTTAGGAAACAAAACTAGCGCAAATGAACATGATATTACGAGCTCAAAATTTGTCATGTAAGAAATTGAGGTAGGTACTATTCTCCAGTACATTATGTATTGTTTATTTTGTAATAATTGATAGAGATACATATTAATGTAATTTAATTTTAAAATAAACTTTATTGAATGCACTATTTGTTTTTTTTTCTCTCGTTCGTCAATTTGCATCAATAGTCCCAGAGATAGGTCATAATCTAGAGAAAACAAAACACAATCGGTTTTAATTACTTTATTTTTCTATAAAATACACATACGATTTGTAAATAAACAATTCATTGTTCAAATACTTAAATGATTTCTTTCATGAACATAATATATTGTTATATTATGTACTTTAATTACTTTCACACTAATTAAATAGGTAAAATTCAATCATAGCAATTAATACCTTACATTATTTTTTATTCATGGTTTACAATAAATCTGAAATAATAAAGTAATAATAAAAAACTTAAAAAAATTTGTGAAAAATGGCAATTAGTGACTGATATGTTGTTCTTTTTCTAGAAACAAAACCAAATAAAAATCGATGTTATAAATTGTTGTCAATAGACTACTGATTGATTCTATGAGACTCATATTGAACAAAACAGTTTACAGAGTATTTAACAAAGAATGTAATTCAACGAATTTAGAGAAAATATATTATTATTAGTTTTAGTAAGGACATTTTTCTTTCGTGTTCTTTCNCTTCATTGTGTTCTTTGTAACTGAAAATCCTACAACAATAGCTGCAACAATCGCGTTAGATATGACATCACATGCATGGTAACACACAGTGGGGTCCTATAGGACAAAACAGAGGCTACTCTAACATCAAGTACCTGTAGATTTTACACTAGTAAGTAAGTACATGGACCTTAGACAAAATCGAACTTTAAATTTAATCTCCTAAATAGGCCTATATAAATCCTGAATAAATAACACACACTGCTTTATTAAAAGAACTTGCTTGAAGCATGACATGATTAAATTTAATTAAACCATGACATTTATTTTAATTTCATAATACATTTTCATGAAAGACAGAATTTACACATTCGCCTGTTCGGTAAACATTTGGCACTAATATTTTAGACTTAACACTTATGATAATAAGGTCTGTATTTTTATTTCGAAACTCAACAAAAAAGTTACTGTCTATAATTTAATGAAATCGTTTTTAAGTTTCTATAGGTCAGAATAATAATTCATTCGTAATAAGTACTTTCTACATTGTTTTTATCTAAACATTTTATACTTATCTTCATCATAAGACTTTTTAGTACATAGCTAGTCCATTACAACTGTTCGAATAGGTAAAGGGATAAAAAAGAAACACCTACTTGAATTAATAAATTAATCAAATGGGGTGGAATCTAATAAAACAAAAAGTATTGTAATCATCCTCGATCAAAAACACAAATTAGCAACATCAATTTATTATTCTTATGGTACCTATTTGAACAGTATTATTAACTCTTCATATTATACATCGTTTTTTGTGTGTGAACAATTCACTGCCAGTTTTAATTTGGCTATTAACCATAAAGGAGAATAGAAACATAATTTGTTTAGGAAGACACATACATAAATTTTCTTATCTATGTAAGCTCGACCAATAATGATGTTTAAAATTGTACAACAAAATATTTCATGTGGTTTAAATATAAACAAGTAGGTACTTTGTAAGTGCAGTTAAGAAGAATAGTTATTTGAATATCCAACATTAAAAATAAACTTTTAATTGGTAGGTTTACTCTATTATGTATTTTATCATCACTTCTTTAATCACATTGATATTTCATAGTAATATTGTTCTTTTAAGTTTGCAAGAAGTTGGTTGGACAATACCATATTAGACAATATTTAATATGCCATCTATTTATTGGTTCCATTTAACATTTACTATGAAAATATACACATTTAATTCTACATTAAATTTTATTTACAAATCTATTTACATGTCTATGATATTATTATCTTAGAAAACATTTAAGAATTCTTTATATGACATAGAAACGTGACACGACTAAAGTAAATAAGCTGTAATTCATTAAAAAGTGTTTTAAAATTTATTGTTACTTTTATATTTTTCATCTTTTCATTTATTGTCCCGAAGAAAAGGCAAATGAAAAATACATCGAGGGCTCAACTAGTCACGTCCTGCTAACTGATTTTGAAAAGGTATCTAATAAGTATTTTGTAATTTATGGCAGTGTTGTGACCTGTTTTATTTAAATAGGTATGAATTACTTTGCTGAGCCTTAGGCCTTTCATGGATAATCTCATATAGCAACCATATATAAGGACCTAATTAACATTATTCAAGACAAGCACAAGATTGCGAAAGCGGCGCTGGGAGGTATATCTTAATGACACAATGCCTAAATAATTATAAATATAAAATATCTAAATCGTCGGTATTATAACCACCTTAAAATGAATATTACAATCTAAACATCTATAAAAAATGGCCGGAACGATTTGAAAAAGAAGAGAAAGCAGAAGGATATAAGAGATGGTCTAAAAGCAGTTCACAAGAAAATCAATAAGTACATACAAGATATAGCGCATTATGTTACTTTCATTTATAGATTTCGAAGTTTCATTTTAACAATGTAGTCAGGAAACGAGTTTAGGTTCTACACACAGTAATCTAAACAAATCTACAAAGAACTGGTCGCAAACATCGATCATTAATATGTAACTGACTGTATTCTGTGGATCATCTAATAGATAGACAAAAGGATTTACAACTGGATCTCTAATATCGATACTCCGATTAAAAACTAGTTTTAAGATTCTGTTAGATTCACTATAATTTCTAAAAGACCGTGTTTCGGATAGTTTCCGCGAAAATACACGAGTATAGGTACTTATTATTAGAAGAAGTATTAAATCTGCAAACACTTTAAACGTATGCCTCTAAATCAACACATACATAGGAAGTACTTCAGTTAAGGAATTACCTAAGATTCGACGTCTCATTAATTCAAAACTGTCTATCTAAATACTTAGTGTCGTTTAAATTTTATACAAATTAACTAAAATATTCAAATAATATGCATAATTACGTGTTTAATTATACGTACTTACAAAATCTACGGAAGTTAAATTTGTTATACATTTATCAAATAAACATTGACACCAATTTATTACACAATTAATCATGTAGAGCCCTATTTTGCAAAACAATACGTCTCAGAAATGAATAAAATATCTACGATTTTAACTTGCAGAACAGTTGTCTGCCATTATAATGTATTTAAAATAATTCGTTACATTCAAATCCAGCCAGCTCCAACACACGCTCGAGCTCCTGAATAGAGTTGAAAGAGCAGTTGGCATTTTTTGCGATGTATTTCATTGTAGATCGTCAACCCCTCATACAAAGCGTCCATTATCATGTACCCTAAGTGACCCAACTACGGAGCGCGACGGAGGGGTGCGCGCGCGCCGCTCGCAGGTCGTCAGAAGTTGCTGTCGAATACGCCCATGGACCGGGAGATGTCTTCGTCGCGTAGACAGCAATCCAGGAATTCATCTAGCGTCAAAACTCCGTCGCGGTTCAGATCCATTTTCTGGAAAATTTAATAGAAATCATTGTAAAACTCTATTTCCCTTATTAAAAAATTTACAGCCTATTGAACTCTGATTTAAATTGTCATTTAGTGTGGAAAAGTAAGTTTAATCCAGTGTTCATCCTGGGTACCCTTTAACAAAGGTATAGGATTTTGCACTTAACGCTTAAAGTAAAGAGATTTCAGTGCGTGTTTCGTATTTAATTTGATGTAATATGGCTGTAGAAATAGTAATTATACTTTGAAATGTCTGATTCAGCAATTAAGTAGTGTAAGTAGATAAGCACCATTTAAACGCAAGATCAACTGTCATTATGTAGGTACTTATATCAGGTCATCATGATATCAGTAAGTACATACACAAGAATAGATAAAGAATCAAGTCTATTATTGCACAATTGAAACATTACATACATACATATTTATGTTATTACACGTAGTACATACCTACTTATTTGTCTATCTACTAGTGTGCAAGTATAATTATTATTAGAGGATAAGAGTTCGCTGGCCATGTTTCATTTATAATTAAATGCGGAGGAAGGCAGTTTACATTGCAACTATGTAACTAACTAGGCGCTTGCCGCTCATACTTAGTTTTAGTGGCACGGCAAACGCGCCATAGTGGCGCCACTGCAGCGCTTCCTCACGCCTTTCAGTCTCATAAGAAATTTGATGGCGATGACAACGGATCTTTTTTGGTTTCGATGTCCACCACTGAGGGACAGAGCAACTCATTTCTTCTCAGTGTCCACCAGTAGGGCCCAACGGGAAGATTTCAGTAGCGCTGTCCCTCACTGGTGGACATTGCAACTTTTTTTCTCGATGTCCACCAGTGGTGGACAAATAGTGGGGGACATCGGGAATAAACGAGCTAGGCTACCTAGCCATAGGGGGTTCTAGCAGAGGATCATCTAAGGGTATTCGTATTTGTGGAATAAGCAACAAACACGTGTATTCTGATTTGTCATCACTCACCTGAAATAGCCTTTCAACTTTTTCTCGGATAATTTCTTCATCTACCGACGGGTCCACGATTCTGCCCATGAGGTCGTATATCGCGTTGACGATCTCGGTCATTTCTTCTTTAGTGATGTACCCGTCTCCGTTTATATCGTACAAGGAGAATGTCCACCGCAGCTTTTCTTCCAGCGTGCCCCGGGATAGTATCGACAAGCCAGTTACAAATTCCTGTAAGAAAAAAAAAATGTTCATTCATCATCATCTCAGCCATAGGACGTCCACTGCTGAACATAGGCCTCTCCCCAATGCTTTCCATGTTACCAGTGTTCTGGAGTGGAGGCCGCGTACCGGAAAACGCAGCGTGGGACGTCCACCCACAAGGTGGACCGACGACATCATAAAGGTAGCAAGAAAGCGCTGGACGCAAGCCGCTACCAACCGGGTAACAAAATTAATATTAATCTAAGGAAAATTTCGACGGGTTCTTCCAGTGTCCAAGTAGCTCAGTTGGAAGAGCAATCGCCCGGCAAACGAAAGGTCGTGGTCGTGGGTTCGATTCCCGCCTTAGTCAGTTCGATTTTTTGCCCGATTCGATTAGCCCTGCAGAGGCCACCACATTGATAAAGAGTGGTGAATCCATCCATATTCGAATGGCGACAGTACCTATCATTTTCGCGCCTAAACATTGTACCGCAGCCACGTGCGCAAAGGCTCGTATGCATGTATGTCTACCTATAAGACATAATAAAGAAGTTTTCTTACCTCAAAACTTAACAGTCCACTTCTATCTTGGTCCAACGTGTTAAACACGAAGTGTGCGTATTGTGCAGTATTTGCTGAAAAAAAGGAAACATTTCTTTTATACTCTGAAAACAGTACCTATTGTACATCTTTTATGGAGGGTTAACAATAGGTTATANATATGCGCGACTTATGTCACCCCCTGATGCTTGGCATCCGGGGCGGACCGCCCCCACCGCCCCCCCCTTACGCCGCTACTGTGGTGAATCCACCCATATTCGAATGGCGACTCTGTCTAAACATTGTACCGCTGCCACGTACGTGCCAAAGGCTCGTATGCATGTATGGCTACCTATAAGACAAACGAAGTTTTCTTACCTCAAAACTTAACAGTCCACTTCTATCTTGGTCCAACGTGTTAAACACGAAGTGTGCGTATTGTGCAGTATTTGCTGAAAAAAAGGAAACATTTCTTTTATACTGTGAAAACAGTACCTACATCTTTTATGGAGGGTTAACAATAGGTTATAAATTAAGGGTTTTTATGAAATATACCAAGTTGTACATTGATGGATTTAAAAACTATAAAAATATACTGACCTGTTGATTCACTAAAGGGTTGTGTTTAGGTAAATATCAATTACAAAAAGTTAAATGTATTAGAAAATAATAAAGTGCTAATTAATTACGAATATTTATTGAAGAACTAGATATTTTTGATATTCATGGGAATTACATTAAAAAGTTAATCTTATTAATCACTACATACATTTAAAATTTATTATTAATGAAAATAATGTATTAAATGCATTACATAATAATATGTTGGTATTATCAGGAAGTTATAAGTAGACAAATTAAAATGCAGCTAAGTTATTACAATTACTTTATTTCAGAAGGTAGGTACATCATCATTGGAAAGAGACCTCGACAAATTGTATGGACACGGGTCCAATAAATTAGTGTACATACAGAAATTGTGAAATCCTTAGTACCTCAGCATTAACAATACTGGCGTGTCAACTAAAAATTATCACATAATATTGTTGTTACTGTCGCTTTTATTTGGCTTATCTCAATATTCCAACCTAAATTATGGTGAAAATTTCAGGATGCACATAGCTGTGTGGTATGTGTTCAATAAAAGGCCCAGCGTCGCTACTGTGTATCCTAAAAGTTTCTCTAACGTCTTTACGTTTAGATACCAACTTTGTAATTAAAATTAACTTAATGTAATCATGTTTGAGATGGGTACACCACAGCGATCTTCCCATGGGAAATGGACAGTTCCTTATAATACGAATTACACTAAACGCGCTCCACCGGTCTGCTGCTGATACACTTCTATTGTGTCTCCCTCTTCCATTTCCAATGATGTGGGCGTGTCATTCTCATTGATAGGCTGTCCGTCGAATCTGAATCTTACTACTTGCATTGATAGACCCTGTAATAAAAAATAAACATATGAAAATCCATATTCAATTAATAAAGTATACCTTATCTATCAAAACTTTCATTTAAAAACTAAAATAAATTCTTTGATCATCATTAGCATCAAACATTTTTTTTTGTTTTTCAATAAAAAAGAAGTTTTGACTATGAGAGATTTGGCGATTGAGGTGAAAAATTGTATGAAAAGCCAGCTAACAAAGCAACAGTGCTGCTTCTTATTAAGCCTGTAGTAGGAAAGATGTTGACGAAAGAGAGCATATTCATGTTCAAATTGTGTCTTATAAATTAATCCCGGGATAATCTTTTGATACTGAAAGGGTGAATTTAATGTTGTGAAAGCCAATTACAAGATATCAATATTTTAGATAATCAATACCAAGATAAACGATAAAAATGATGTTGATGAAAGAGGGCAGTCATATTCAATTCTATCTCTTTCACAACAGAATCCTGCCTTTGCCTTTTACGATTTGAAAGCCTAATTAATATTGGTGGATAAGTAATTAAATGTTAGGGGGCATATTTTGCAATGAGAACAGTATTTTTTGGTTATACCAGCCAAAAATATTTCCAGGAGTTTGTTTATTTTGATTTAATCAAAACGATTATTGTATCATGTAGACTTCCTGAAGAGGAGTTCTCTGGGAAATTGCACAATGTGCTAAAAACTATGGTAATGCTTACCGCTCTATCACAATACGCATTCATCAGTTTCCTCAACGGTGTGTGCTTCTTTATTTTGAACTGGACAATGGCATTATCCTGACCTAGTACTTTAAGATTAATGTGTTCGCTTTCACCCTGTAAACAATAGAGAATGCATTTTAGAATTACAATCGGTAACCACATTCATGAAACGCCATGTCGGTGAGACACTGTAATGTAACGTTTACTGATAATACATTGACGCACGTACCTTTTTCTCGTCAGACATTTTGGAGAATTGTTTGTTAAGTAACTAATAGCACAAACGCAAGATATTCTTGAGTAAATCCGTAGAATTACACACAAAAGACACACTACTGACACTTCGTACTTCGGTGGCGTGGTAATGGCGTCCGGTCAAAAAGCTTGGAGGAAGCAGTGCTGCCAACACATGCGCAGAAAAAACGACGCAAATGGCGCGCATCTGCGCAATGATGTCAAAACGTTTTGTTCACCACTTGATAACAAATTCAATTAAGAGAATAGTATTTTTGCATGGTTTTATATCATAATTTTACAATTAACTACAAACGTATTTATAAGCAAACTTTTTTACAGCAATCTAAATAATTTTGCATACTTAAAAACGTTTAGTTTTTGCATTGAGTCCGTGACATGGCAGTTTTGAAAATGACATTGCACTTAACTAGCCCTAGTAGTCGACTAAGAAGTCATTATTTAAATACTTAAAATCTTTATTTGATATAATAATGTGACTAATTATAAATAATGACTCAAAAACATTAAAATACTTCATAAATACATCCAATTAGGACTTGTATTATTTCCTAGGGTTTAGCCAACCTACTAAAGTTAACGCTAGGGCTGTCACTTCTATCGATACTTTACAGGAAATGGATAGTGTTGTACCTTATTGACGATGATCGCTTATTGTTGTTATTTTGATGAAACTTGATAAATTATTTTGTTGAGTCTTAGACACGGTTAAAAATCTTAGTTTATCAAAGTAGGAGCAATACATCTTCTTGTTTGGAGCTAGAAAAGTTTAAATGCTTGGAAGAGATACCTTTAACATTTAATTATTAATTTCCTTGACTTCGCTGGTCATATTCACACGATTGATGAACTAAGTAAGTTTATTCTTGAAGCGTTAGATAAGGTTAGATAAGTTAAATTTTATTGAAGAAAAATATCACAACGGTCTTTAAATACCGTTAGTTTGCTCACTTTACAGTCTCAGTGAGTTTATTAAGATAAATTTTAAGGAAACAACAAACCCACAACGCTGCTTCGCGTTTTTAGAGTTCCGTACCCTGTTACTGAGACTCCGCATATCTTTCTGTTACCAGGCTGTATCATGAATGAATATCATGAACTGTGATAGCTAGACAGTTGTATTGTAACAGATGATGTATCTTTCTGTTGCCGCTGTAACAAAAAATGCTAAAAACAGAATAAAATAAATATTTAAGTGGGGCTCGCTAAAACTATCCCATGGTTAATTTATGAAACAATATTTTTTGCCGCTTTTTTGCTCAAAAATCTTAATTTCAGGAACTAACTATTTACATTACCTATTTGTTTGTACGGAACTTTCGGTGGCCGAGTCTAACTTACACTTGGCCGGATTTTTATGATCAAAGAACGTTAAACATTTGAATTTCGTTTCGCTCCTTGTAAGATTTTCTGTTTTGAGAAATTAAACCTACATACTTAGCTAGGCAAAGAAAAGTGTGAGAGAGATTTAAAAACAAAATCCAAAAATAAATTAATAACGGTACCTAATTTAATAACCTAACGGTCTGAGCCCCGATTACGGTAACTTTTATAACGTCTACAATCCAGACGCGTTTCTGATTCTGCGATACGATTGGTCAAATCAGCTGACGTACGCTGTTGAACGACCAATCGTATCGCAGAATCGAGAAGCGTGTCTGGATTGTTGACGTTAAAAATTACCGTAATCGGGGCTCTGGGTTCAATTTTCACGTGTCTTGTTTTAGCTATAAACGTTGTGAAGGTCTCAATAGGTACGGTAGGATATCACGTTCAATGAAAATTCCAAATTACTGTCATTTGTACTAGGTATTTGTGATCAAGTCGACCAGTAGCCACGTTAGGGCAGTTGCGAGTAATGGCCACCAAACCCCTATTTATTGTTCGAATTTAAATTCGAAACGTGACTCGACTCATGGATTAGGCCGGTATTGATACTGAAATTGGCGTTTTGTAATGGTTTTCATTTTACGCATTTGTTTCTAATTGGCAAAAGGGTGTGAGATAAAAATAATAATAAAAGTAAAAGGAATAATATTTAAGTAACAATTATTAATAGTGTATTTTACACTTTGACTTCTGGTAAACTTTTCTTTTCTCATTATTATTGTCCGGCTTTTGTTAGGTTTTTTTATTTGGTTGCCGCGCCAGGTGAAAGTCGAGCCACAGAATCATATTGGGCAACCGATGATACGATGATGATAGTACTCACTCATGAGCAATTGCACTCGTCACATGGTTTATACACATGGCGTTATAGTAGGTAAGTTATGTGATATGTCCATAGATTTAGCGACGTGCGCTTTTAAATTTTTTAGGGTTCCTTCAGTCGCTATGTCACTAAAAACCTTTTCAAATGGTCATAACTTAATCCTCTGTCAAAGGCCGAGCCTTTTGGGGGGGATTTTTCATAAGGTAAAAAAACCAGCCCTATAAGTTCACAAAAAATATTGACGGAATTTGAGTCGGTACTTAGGTAATTCTATTCAGCGTAGGTATTCAACTAGGTAATACAACTGTACTAAACCTTTAGAAACTGGTTTTAATTGGCCATTGAATGAAGCGTTTCAATAAGGTCTAGAAACGGGAAACTCGATACCCATTCAACGCCGATAAACGCTTATGTAGGACTTTAGGGAGTCAATTTAGTTTTTATTCTGTGGCTTCGTTAACGGTTCTCTTTGCATTCATTCAAATTGCCTTCATCAACGTTCGTTTCTATTTGAATTTGGGAGGCAATTTGCGGTCGATTGCGGTGCGTTCGGCGGACTGGGCTATGGGCAGGTTTTGGAAACTAATCTACAGATGGAAAAAATGTTTTTGTATTCAATAGCAATCAAGAAAAGCTCTATGATGCGCAAACGTGCGCTACTTTACGTAGGACAACCATGGTTGAATTTTGTTGAACATGAGATCCTTATAAAAATCTGTCTTCCTTATCCGTTCTGCAAAATGTAGGATGTACAAGTATGAACGGAACTTCTTATAGATCAGTGCAACTCCAAATTAAGTAGCCAGATCTAATATTATAAATTATTTCGTAAAAGTATTATTATAAGTTCCTCTTTCTCAACTTTCATGCTTCTTCATAGAGTTCGAAGTAAGCAATGATGGAATGCCTACAATAAACCTCACATTCCAAAAGTTGTACCTTTACCTCGATATCTACGTGGTATTATTTTCACATCCCAGCGATTAACTCCACTCGTATACCTATTGAGCAGTATTTACAAAATCTTGCTGCTTTTAAGTAAATCGGCTTTCAACGGTGGATGCTTTAATAGCAGCTGATCCATTACCATTTCCGTGTCACGAAAACACCGGCAATGCTTTTACAGCATCTCTTCAGGCATAAAAGCCTACATTTATGGCAGTATCGATCACAGTGGATATTTTTTATCACTTTATTTGAATATTTATACCTTTTTTTGAACATTAGAATTGCGCTATTTCCTGTTAATCAATATTCAAAATAACGGCGTGGATTTATACTACTGCGGCAGGCCTTGCACTAATAGTTTTGGCAGCGCTTCCACCCATTTCAGTACATCCAGATATAGTTTTTCTTTCTGTATACCTACATACAAAAGTGAGAATTTCCCCTTTTTCACTTGCCAGTGCTGTTTTGTTACTGATCATTTACGATTCACCCAAGGACAATAATTTAAGTCCCGAAATAGTCTGCCAAGTGTTTTCTTAAATTAGACTTTATTACATGCGTAGGAGAAATGATTATTGTAGTAAAATGCAAGGGTAAGGCTATTGGACAGCTTGGCCGAATGTAAAGCAGTAACCTATTGGTGTCCCGTGCCCGACCACTCAACTTGATGGGTTTATATGATTATGTGATGCGTTTTTCATGTCCCCATTTTATTCCTTTAGTACGGTCGGTGTCTTTTATTAACATTCCTCGTGCAGGCGATATTTTGACTCTACCTTGTCTTGGTACGTTTAAGTGAAGTTGTTGAGCGCTGCTTTCTTTTGGAACGTGTTTACAATAGTAATGGCAGGTTTAGCAGGAAAGTTTTACGGAAAATACAGAGTTTATATTATATTTTATTCGGAGAATTTACTGTAATATTATCAAACACTTATCTTTTAAGAACGTTATACTTACCTAAATGATAGTTATTAAAACTTATTTGAGTGTAAGTGCAAATTAAACTTTTGGCGTGATTCTTTATGCAAAAATTCTGAAACGATATAGTTATCAAATACTGAGTAACAATCAACTACCGAATAAATACTCCGACAGGTACGAGTAAATATTCCATAATGTACCTACACCACACATACTACTTTGGTCCTGGCAGGATTCGAACCTGCAAACAGTAAGTTACAAGGAAAGAACGACTTACAATCTAGACTTACTTGTGATACTGCGTCGCCTTCGATGTTCTACTCGCCGTCGTTACACAAGGTAAATAAATGACACATTTTACTTTTAATTATTTATTTTTCAAAATCCAATAAGTAGAATTGGGTTATCCGGTGTCCCTTATAAGCGCGTAGAGCGCTTGTATCAAGGAATTTTCAGGAAGTTTAAAAAGACACAGGTAAATAAATACTGAAAATATGTATGTGACTCAAACTGACCGAAAATAAGAGAAAGGCAGGTGGTAGGGCAAAGCGCCCTGGAAAAGGCCTAAGTACAGAATAAAAGCTTTGACTTTGATAGGAATATTAATTTTAGAGTGCCCAGAATTTGAAGCTAACGACTGAATTTAAAATTATACTCGGCTTTTCCCGTGGTAACGAGAATATTTTGTTTACCATATTTTATTAAGGTAGGACAAAAAAATATGATCTTTTACGCATAATTACATTATTCATTTTTTACATAAAAATGTAGGTATTTATTTAAAGTTAATGTTAGAATTTACCATTAACTAATTATAGAGCTTAGTTTTCTTCATTAAAAGTTTTCCAGTCAACTTGAAGTCATATGACTAATGATTTGAAAAAGTGAAAACTCGTTATCTTTGTCATTTATTATACAACTGTCAAGAGATGGATCCTCGAGTTTGTTCGGGCTACATTATTCACAGGGCCATTGTCCCGGCCATCAGCTGGGTTGGAATCAAATGTGTGCTCGTTACAAACGGGCAATTTCGGTAATATCTAAGTTAGCATCTTTAGGACTTCAATTTGCGTCAAGCAAATTTTCCCGCTCCTTTATGCCGTGACAAATAGCGCACGTTGAATTGAAGCTTGGTGCTTACTCCTGAATTGTATTTGGAAGATAATTTACAGATCGTCATTCAAAGTCATCACTCTTTTGAAATGATTTTTACGAAACTGCGTAGATACCTTTATCATGAGAAGAAAATTTGTTTTGAAACTTACCACCTTACAGTAAATAATAGTAAGAAAATAAAATGATTTTGAAGAAGGTTATCTTCAATACTCTCGGATCTTTCCATTTATGCATGATTTATGTTTTAAGATCTCTTTAAACGGATTTTCTTTTTAGACTTACCTCCTTGCTGAACTACTGCTTCATGAAGACTGGTGGATATAATTTGTTTCTTATTTTAAAAATTACTTTCTTCTCCAATCTGGTTCAATGAGGGGCCTTATTGAACCCTAGTCCAGAAACTATTGATTGAACCCAAGTTCAGAAACTTATGGGATTCAAGTTTGGATTTGCACGTAAGATCTCAGTTAATTACTTACCTCATTGAGTAAAGAATTCTGTATTTTTCAACTGCCAAGGTCATTCAGCTTCACACCCACTTTAACAGGCCAGTGTGGCACACACCTTTTAGTTAAAAATTGTTTTAGTTCATGAACCGTCAAACAGAAGATTCTTTAGGAATCCAGACCCTATCTCTGCAAAGCAGACTTACCTCCTTGCGGGAAGAACTGTGAGTATATGACTTTGAAGGTGTCTTCCTTCACGACTCCAGTGGGGCACTCTGCCTTGAAGCCCCTGTAGAGGCGCTTCAGCTCGGGCTCCGTGAACCGGGTGGCTCGCCGCAGGGCTGCGATCGAGTCCGGCCGGTACCGGGGCAGCTGCTCACCCAACTCCTCGAGTTCGGAATCTGGAAAGAGGGAAAAGGTGCGTTGAGAAAACAAATGACAACAAATACCGCTTGACTATTGTGGTGAGCTCACTCGTAACACAATATTCGAATTCGTGGCGAATATTCTTAAAAAAAAATTGCCAGGTGCGTGTCGTACCACGCGCAGTATAGACAGACGGACATGACGAAACTATAAGGATTCCTTGTCAGGACTACGGAACCCTAAAAATGGCGAGCTGGCTTTATCTTAGGTATGACGAATAGTCATAGTGTTTACCGAGGCTTTAAAGCGCAAGGATTAAAAACTGTGAACACTTTGCTTTGTAGAAGCAAACTTTCAAGCCACTCTCCTACCCCTAGCTAGACAAAATTACAAATGTAGTTAGCTCCGGTATTTTCTGTAGGTACTCGTAGTTATTTCACCCCTGAAGCGATTCCGAAATTAAATGTTACTTTAAAACTGTCTTGAAGTTACTTAATTTGACCAGGCTCTAGTTATAGCTTGCATTTTCAATCCAATTTTACAAACAACACGTGTCGAGATTAGAGTTACAATATCACACAAAAACTAATTCAGTCTACAAAGTAAATCTTCACCGTGTTCCGACTTGACAACTAGAAACAATTGCTCATGAATACGCCAGTCACGAGCCAGCACAACAGACGAATCATAACAGTACAAAGTTTGTATCGCCGAAATCTAGATTGTCGCGACGAATTCCTGGAGAGAGAGAGCGAGAATCTAATTAAGATCTCAATGTGAAATAAATTAGTTTGCCGTACGTTTTAGTCTAGTGCAGAGAGGGTTGAACTCTACTGACAGTGTTCTAGAGTTCGATTCCCACGTAATTAGTTTAGTTGTTTTTGTTGCCGATTTTATTGTAGAGTTTGATCATTTCGAAGGGGTTCTATATTCTTTTTAGCGGAGAAGCTAAGCTTTTAATCAGTAAATTAGCCGCAACATTAGATACTCAGCTTCACAGACAAACAACAATTTGAGCCACTACGTAAATTAAGTTGTATATCTGGCCAAATTGACAAAGTTATATTGCCGGCCCAAAGGTGTGCACTACTAAAAAGTTGGCGACACCTGGCCGTTGTTTGCCGCAATTGTCTCTTCTCACCGAGACACTACTCCCCAATAATGAGACGCAATGCGGCAGCTACGCGCCCCTGCCTTTGGACCAGTGTTTCTCAAACTTTCGGTTCCACGAACCCCTGTTAGTTTCAGGTGATAGCGAACCCTTTAACTAGCTAATTGGGTCCCCCCTTTTCACTTCTCAAAAAGTCAATTATAAGCTGGAACCATTACGTAAAACTTTTCGCGAACCCCCTACCGTCGAATATCGAACCCCTAGGGGTCTGCGTACCCCACTTTGAGAAACCCTGCTCTGGACGAAGGAATACCAGGTGAATTCACAAGTAACCGTTCGATAGGCAAAGGATTTGTTTGTTTCGTTTATGCGGCGTGCCTTTATCTTTATAGGGACGAGATTTCAGGTTTCATATTCGACGTTTGTTATTTACAGTAAACGTGGGCCGGGAATATTGGGTTTCGTCGGAGGCTCGTGCCGTGATTTGCTTGTAGCCTAGGCAATAACATACGTATGGAAACTGTAAAAATAAAGAACAGATTCTAGGGTTACAGTATAAAGGAAAATAATTTTTAATCTCATTATTTCAGATGCATTATATTCTGTGCCCTGCAGCAGCGTTTCTTTACCCTTGACAGCGTGTACCATGTGAGCTGTACAGGCTAAAGTTTTTAGATAACTTTGACTGCAAAATGCAACATTATTGTTGATTATTACAAAGGCAGTTCATTTGATTTTATATCTAGCCTAAGTTTATAAATGCTGACTAGGTATAGGTACGAGACAGTCGACAACAACATAAGTAAGTAAAAGACTCACTTTGCAATAAAAATGTCTCATTAACTCTATGAAGCACATGATGTCGTGGCCTAAGTGCCCGAGCAACTGCACGCAGGAGGATGCTGCTGACAACGCCACTCTTGTAGCGGAGTTTTAGGCTAACACTGTGTAGGTTTGTTGTCGACACGGTAAAAGAAGAAGAACAAGATAAAAATTCTAAATCACTTTCCCAAAGCAGAACACGACACAACCCAGCAAGATTCGTTTGCCGCTCGTTATGGTAATAACGCTATAACAAGTGTGCGCTGTTCAGGCAACTTCGACGGTAATCACGGGCGATATCATCGCGTCAGCTGCCTACCCACGTCCCGCACGCGTTGGTCATGAATATCAATGACGTTTGACACTTCGGCTGGTGCTTCAACCATTCTAAGCCTGTATTTTGACATATTGCAGTCACTTTTGATTTTCAATATCTGGCGATCACGCTACAATTGAAAGCTGCTTTTATTTAACTGAAGCCTACTTTGGTCGTAGTAGCTGAATTAAGTCATTAACTTATGAACCACAAATTTCATTTTTACCACGACCGGTAGAAAATTTTTGTGTAATAACTCATAAGTATTTATTCCAAAGCTAATTAAATTTATCATAACGAAGCATTTAAACGTTCATTACATGCGTGATTACCATGAGGGCCCCGTCCTTTTAAATACCCGTTTTAATCGGAACCAAATCCTAAGGGAAGACCTTTAATAATTTTGAGTATAATTTAATTTAGTATTTATCCCCGGCTTTCCGGGGACTTTATTTTCCAGGACGTCCCTACTCAATGAATTTATGTTTCTACCTGGTTTGTTTCAGTTTTTAAAAACAGTATCTTATTTAACAGTATCAATTGATATGTTTAACAATATTGCGTAGTTTAAACATTTTTTACTTACAACATTCAACAGAGACAACATGTCCAAACACGCAATCGGCTTTTTAGTCGATCTTTAAACGGAGTAATGGAGAACATTTCTCGAGTAACAGGACAAAAGCTAACGAATAATAAGACTCCTTGATCTTGGAGATCAAAGAAACGGCTTAAAGGTTACGTACAGTTACTTATCTCGAAATAATCAGTTCTTTAGCATTTTAGAAACTCGTTATTTGAATGTTACGATGGGGAGGCGATAGCTGTTGATGCTGTTTCATCAATATTACCTTACATTATTAACCAATATCAAAATGAAAAGATAACCAATTCTACTTAACCGTTGTACAAATACTAAATACAGAGGCATGGTATTTCAACGACACTAATAAAATATTTTTCATTCCGTTTGTGAAATTTGTTACAGTCCATTTATCTGCAATACATTACGAGCATATCAAATGCAGCTCAACTCTACCGGTTTTCCCAATTTGTAAAACTAATAAAATCGCCGATAAAATTGTGCAGTACAAAGCGGAAGCTGACGATCATTAAAAGGCCTCTACGTCAGTAAACCCCGCTTTGAGCAGGGCTGCCAATTCGGACGGAAGTTTAAAAATAATGAGCTGTTAGTAAAAGTTTAACTTTTTGGGACACTTTATATTCCGAATGTGGCGTGAATAGTGTTCGTTTCTATAGTCGTCTGTGAGCACGCGGCAGCAATATAATTACGCGCGAGCGATAAGGATGGGTAGCTTGGGGTCATTGGACAAAATTCTAGACTCACAGACCAGGCTTTAGAAGTTTACAAAAGCCCTCTCGCTTTAGTTTCCATCACACTGTGGGTATTTACTTTTTGTGTCATTTTGTGTCAAGACTTGGCCGGTCAGGAAATTAAGTTCTTATTGCGATGCGGATTTATGAAATGAATTATAACAAACTAGCTAGCATATTATGTCTATACCTTTATAACGAATTGTTCAGTAGTTTAGGTTTGCAAAACGTAACCGATAGAGTCAAATGGATTACGATTATGACTTTCCATCACGACGCTGAGCATACGAGTAGGTACCTATCTCATATACTCGTAACCTACCAACATCATATTGTAATAGAACAAGAAGTCGAAAACCTAAGTTGTGAACCCTGGAGTGCCATAAATTACTCGTTATCACCTCTAATGGCACCGAACGGAATGCCACCGTCGGACGGCAATTAGTCTTAAGTCCAATTGCTGACGATTTGTCGCCGCCGAAGGTCGCGTTAACGAAACCATTCTGTCGCTATGGGACCGGTGATTTGCCTATCGCAGACACCATGGGCTTTTTACCATTGAGAATTTGAATTTAAAACATTATCCATTTGTTTGGATTAAATAACTTAGCTTGTCTAACATAAGAATGCGTGAGTGTTAGATATTTCGGCACAATTGAATGCGCCAGTAGTGTGGACAGGCCTCCCACTAGGAGGACCGACGATTCGACGGTCGCGGGAAGTACCTACCTGGATGCGGGCAGCGCAGGACCAATCGTTATGGAAATCCTTGGGGGAAGCCTTTGTCCAGCAGTGGACGTCATTGGGCTGAAACGAACGAACGAAGGCACCAATAAACTGATGTAACATAAAAAAAAATAAAACCGACTCCAAAAAACATAGACTAAAAAGTAGAAAAATAATTACTAATCTTATTTATTAGGACGAATTAATATTTATGTATACCATGATTGATACTTTTGGAGTCGGTGCCAAGATTATGAAACATGTGAAGTTTGCCTGCACCGACTCCAAAAGTATCAATCATGGTATACATAAATATTAATTCGTCCTAATAAATAAGATTAGTAATTATTTTTCTACTTTTTAGTGTATGTTTTTTGGAGTCGGTTTTTTTTTTTATAAAAATTAACTTATTTCTTACTTTTTAGTTACTTATTATTACCTTGATGTTACCACTGAATGTAGGCCGTACATTGAGACTATATTCTTCATGTCAAGTGTAAAATAATAATCCCTACAAAATACAGGTTACCATATCGGCAACCTAAAAAGACCTTAAACCGTCAACCCACCTTAAAAACATAAAAGAATACAACTGTTGGTCTATTTGTACCTATATTATTTAAAGAATTATCCTCCAACTCCTAAGCGTTAAGGAGTTGTACGTACCATGACCAGTTCATCAAGATGAGATGATGACTATCTGATGCAAACACTTGAATAACTTT